GTATGACCCTTTTAGGGTTTGGCGCAATTAATGCACGACTGTTCCGAAGTTTCATCTAGGCTTCGCTAACAGGTAAATTCTCTGTAATTCAAAAATGTTTATGTGCCACCTAGCCAGTAATCCTGTGATAACCATTTAATATTTCTTATCTAGGTAAACTAACTGAAATATAACTATAGTAACTAATTTTGTTCATAAAGGAAAACTCATCACGATTATATATTTTTAATTTCTCTAAATGAAAGTTGCCAATTGTTTGACAATTATTTAATGTCAAATAATAACATTACGTTGACCTAAAGCTTGAACTTGAAGTCTGGCTTGGCGCGTCACTACTAGAACTCAATTGATACAGCAATTAATCAATGATCGACGATCAATGAATGATCTTAGCTTTTCACTGGTGACACCTAATAGTGGTAGGCTATTGCATGATCAAATAATAGCACCTGCCAACCTTTAAGCATGTAATATATTTGCTAATATATTTATCAATATCAATTATATTATTAAAGTGATGAAGTCAAATTTGTGGTCATTCTTTAAAGCCATTAACCAAATAAAAATATAAGCATATGGCACATAAAAAAAGCTTTAAAGTGTGTAGTTGCCGAGAAACATTGGTATGAATGAATTCCCTAAGGGCTCTGTCCTACATGCTTTCAAAGTTTACATGAGCTGGTTGATGCAATTACATACTAAATAAACAAACACATTTTGTCAACTTTTTTCATCATTTACTTTTATGTTTAGACCACTCTTTATCAAATCTACTTAGCAACTTATATGGTTTAAATAAAATATTAATAAATACCATCATTTGTTTTATTTGGCTTAACATTTTTACTTTGTACCAGTCTGTAAACTTTCTGTATTCTTCTTCATATCTTTCTTTCTTTTTCGCTGGTGGAAGGTTTTTAGTTATCTATGAATTTTTTTAAATCAAATCGTCATGAATTTTAGGCATATTTTGAACCATTTCAAACACTCATTATGCTAAAATAACAAGAAAACGAACGAATTCATTGTTTATAAACATTTAGATTGTGCAACAATGAAAACAGCTGATTTAAATCATTGAAATAAACCACAAACCGTAACAAAACCACACTAACTTGCGTGTTAACTGGGGAACTAATTTAGAGCGAGGGAAAATCAGCCGACAGTTTTTCCCCCACTTCAAATTAAAGCTTGGGAAACAACTACTTTCTTTGATGTAAGCTGTTATCGAAAATAGCTACTTTCGGCACGTAGTGATGAAAAATAAATTTTCCAAATTGATCAAAATTTGTTCATAAACAAGCAAACTACAACAGTTTAATAATACTCCGTAAGAATAACATGGGGATTTCAAATGTTCATGTTTTAATAATTTCTCCTTAACCATTAATCTTAACAACGCACTACAGTAACTGAATTATTTTGGTTTAAGCACTACAAAATGGTTTGGAAAGTTACAGATTTTCTGTTGTTTTTAAGCTAAAAAATTGGAAAACCCAATCTTTTAAAATATATTCACTAGCAAGAACACTACTACATTTTACCTTTTATCTACTAAAATATCATGAAAACTATAAATGTGCAGTTTTTTTACCCCTCGGATAGAATTGACAAACAATTGTACTCTAGCTTTAATTGGTACACTATTTCTCTAACTTCTGAAAATGAAGGACACATGCATCAAGTTTTTTTTACCAGTTCATTCACCCCAACTCACACAAACTAGCCATTCTTGTCCGGCTACTTTGGCTGGTTTATTATGTAAATATGGGACCTGACCACCCTTTGGGCTACTTTAATATCCTCACAATGTCAAACTTGAGTTTGTGTGACGTTTGAATGTGTGTTTAGATTGTGAACGGTAAGTGTATAAAATTAACGAAAATTCTATTTCAAGTAAGTACATACATACTACATACTAACGAGTAAGTTAATAAATATTATTCAGAGTTTACGTATTGGAAATGACCCCTCAATGCTCGTATTTTGTACGTCAATGGCTCTGTACTTAAATTATTACGGAAAGTAAATATAAGATACGTTTATTAACACTTAAAACATATATTTACACTTATACTGTTAACGCATAAGTCGGTAAATATACATAAAAAGATGGTAAGTGGTGATCGATTTCGATTGGACTCGAATCATCATCAGACCCAAAATCTTCAATTATTGACTTATGAATGTGGGTACATTTTTACTAGTAAGCTGTCGGTATCAAATTAAAATAATACTATGATTTCTGGTACAAATCTATTACTGCCATCAATTTTTTTTTTACACAAATTGGGTCGGAATTTGACGGTTATTTCGTTTGATGTAAAAATTAAGAACAATAAATGTGATATTTTTAGTGATTGTGAAAATTAAATAACTACCCTAACTTGACTTAACTTACATTGTAAGGTTTTGGGGCTAGCTAACGGATATTTACCCAATTTTCTGACAATTATTGAAGAAAACAACAGTCCAGTACATTCTTGGGCTTCCGATGAGACTCGGGTCAAATTAGTATTTACATTATTAACAATCCCAGGCGCGGACGTTTCTCCCGATTCCTTGTAAAGAGTCGTTCACATAGCTTAGTTCCTCTCCCTTCTCCCCGAAGACGGCTCACAACTCTCTTTGGGCGCAACCTCCACAAACTCCTTTATGTACATTGCATGAACAATTAATACAGGTTGAATACCCTGTTTGTAATCAGTATCCATACAGACACAATACTGTATAACATTTACACGTTGCCTACCAGCTGTAACTTTCCTCTGTGTGAGGGGCTTTACTTGGCAGTGAATGCGTTTAACAAATGAATTAGTTAGTTAGTTAAATTAGTTAAAATAATAATTAGTTAAAATATTTAAAATTTTCAATTTTCTGTAAGCTTGTAAATTAATCGTGTACAGTACGATCAAAAAAATATAATGACACTAAATCGGTTTCGTCGCTGAAAATTTTTTTTTTGAAATTAATTTTACTCCGAATGTACACTTCAATCAAACAATGGACCAGGTAAAAAATGCAACAAATACTTCAATAAATACACCAACAACATAGCCCCGACCAAATACTGTATCAATATGTTTCGCAACCATCAACAACGTAAAAACAACGCGTTTGCATCTGGTTATGATTTAGTTGTTATTAAACTTTTAAGAAAAAATAATATGTACAATAATTTTACGATTCATAAATGCCATAATGACGTTTTACTAAGCATTTTTCATTCAGTGGTATCTTCATATAGGCCCTAGTGTGGAAAATATCACTATGCTTGACTAATATTTTAGAGAGTGAATCAAAATTTAAATTTTCACTCGTTTTGGAATATTACAATCAAAGTTCTATCATGCAAAAGCTGTTAAGTCAAGTTTTGCTACTTAAAAACAAAGTATGATTTTTTAAACTCATCAGTGGTAACTTCGACATAGAAAAGCATTTTTTGTCTATGCTTTAACAAACCCCTCAACCTGCAAGTACGGTGCAAACGTTTTCCAAATTTCGATAAATATTACTTTTAAAGTAGTACAAATTGAATGTTTATTTCAAAGATATTTTGTAATAATAAAATTGCTTGAAGTTTCGAGTTATTTCAAAAAACGGACTAACTTATAATAAACCAAATTTACTTAATTGTAGCAACATTTTAATTTTATATCAAATTGTAAGTTAATCGTGTCCTACACGTTTTGCTCAAATAGGATTATAAAATTGAATTCAAGTCGTAATTTATTTTAAACATTTACCATACTATTTTTCCTTTCACTACCTAATCCACAGTTACATCAGGTTTCATATGATATCGTTATCACTAGGAATAGATTGGATTTCACCTTAATGATGTAATGATTGTGATCAACTGTTTTTTGAGCGTACGTTTTAAGACGACAATCACTAATTTCGCTCAGATGGCTCAGCTGTTAATTTATCTACTTCAAACATTCACAGAAACAAATCAACACGTTGAATGGGATTTAACCACTGATTAATGGTAACTTCATGATCTGTAATGCTGTCGTTGCCTAGAAACCGTAACCCCAAAATTCAATACATTGTACACTCTTTCGTTATTGGTATTCTGTTTTGGTGGATTGAACCAGATGGTAAAATAAAAATAGTTTAATGTATGTTGTTTTAAAATATTTTGCCCGCAAATGATTTTAAATTATCGTTTAAGTGAATTTCCCCAACAGGGGAGGAGCTCAAAGTAGGTAGAATGGCGAGACCTAGACCCGGGACCAAATTACTTTTTCGTTTTGATGTTCCCAGAGGCCAGAAACAATATTCTTTAAAATTCATATGTCCATAAACGCGAAAACTCTAGCAATTATGGTCCGATTTTAAGGTATTTTTTTACGAATTTGAAGGGATGGATGAATTTTAAAGATTACGTGGACCAGCAAGTTCGGGTCATATGGGCTGTTATGGAGCACAAACAAGCAAACTACAACAGTTTACTTATTCTCCATAAGAACAACATGCGAATTTTAAATTAACAATTTTGTGAACTGTCTATGTAACATGTAACCGTACATAATACTAAATTATTTGTTTTTGGGCTCTACAAAAATGATTTAAAGATAAATTTGGAAATGCTATCTCCAGGTCAAAAATGAGAAACTCCAACTTTCACAACATAAAAACACTCATAGTTTGATCTTGCTGTTTCGTGAACTCGTTCGTACACCTTTATACCAAATTTTATCAAAATTGGATTACTTTTACGCGAGTTGTGCTAACGGACATATATGCATATTTGAATTTGAACTGATGTTGTTTTGGACCTCTAGGGACATCAAAACTAATAATTGTATTCCCTATGTGAGAAACAAAATACAAACACAACCGCTGATAAAAACTAACAAAAAACATCGATTACAAGTCAAACTCCTAGAAAACAGCTGTTTCAATAGCCAGCGGAACGAGCCTGTACCAACATACTGAGGCCTTATCAGTTTATCAGTAGTCTTCTCTTCAAGTATCTTTCGGGTCATTTCGGAGTCAGCTCTTGTATTAACCACTTCAGTCGGCGTTAATACTCTTTTTAGTAGCTGATTTTGTGGACGGTAGAGCGTTTTTAGTAGTTTAAGCGTTGTTGGATATTTAAACGATTTTTCGGCAGATGGAACTTTTTTGTAAAGTTGGTTCTTGGGTCAGGACCTACCGAAGCGCTTTTGCAACACTACTATGGAGTTTCTATACGGTCTACTTTTCTCCTTCGCTATTCTGTGAGTTACAAAAACTTGTTTTAGTGCTTATTTTTGTAATTGGAAGTTTATTTTAAGGAAGTTTGACGAGGGACTTCAAGTTTAAAAACACACGTTTTCATACGTTGTGATCTGGAATATGATTTCAAAATATGATAATTTGTTTATTTTACCAGGGTTTCTTCTTAGCAAAGTGTAAATACTGACCTACAGTTTTGTTTTGGTATAATTTGATACCCACTAATAGTAGGACCTATGTAAATTTAATCACAAGACCTTCAGTAACATACTTAAGTTTTGTTTATTTAACATTGACTATGGTTTAAATATGTTTTGACGACAAAGACTTTACATTTAGAAACAGCCTTTGTAATTCATTCTTTATGATGAGTACAAAGCCTAATTTAATTAAATTTTTATGTAAACAATTCTACAGTATGTATTTATTTGAACGATGTCAAGGTATAGTAATAACATTCCAACAAAATAGATTCTTTAATATTCCAATCGGTTAATTAATTTTAAAAATATTAATGTTTTCTTTCAAATCTCAACATTTACTAAAAATAATTTGTATACTAGTAAAACTTGCAACTAATCTATTTAACACCAACACAAACGATCAAATCATTATTAATGTAAAAAATCTAATTTGAGTAATTTAACTTGATAAACTGTGTGTTTGTTATAGGTACCTAAAGTAAACTGGTTTTAAACATCCTTTATAGCTATGATTTTTTTACAGTTGATCATTATAAAGCTTCAAAGAATAGGATAGAATCCAAATTGATTATTTCATGTTATTTTTACTCTATTAGGTAGTTAATTCCATTTATGAAACTAGTAAATAAAGGAGTACTGTGGTATTTGACCAAAATTTGTATTACAGTTTTAGGGACACTTGTGTGAGCATTTTTTATGACATTTGACTAATTGCTTTGCTACTATTTTTAGACATGTTTACAATGATATGTAGGGATAACATCAAATTCATACCAGTAGCATTGTTTACGAATTTTATATTACCAACTGTAGATATATAAGAGTTAATTGATTTGGAGTCAAAAAATATTTGAGGGATGAAATCAGTTTTTAATTAATTTATATTAACAGCAATCAGTTTTAATTGCATTAGTCCAGCAAAGTTGCTCTTCTATATAACAAACACAAATAAACTGCCTTTGTTGTTGTTTTGTCAATTGCTTATAAACTTTTCTTTGTTACTTCTAAAGTTTAAGTAATTGTACAAGAAAATGTGCAGATCACATTTACAGTGTTATATCCATTCTCAGATAATTTATATTTAAATGTGTATCATGGATAACATTTACAATTTTGGATATTTTTATCATTTTTTTGGATATTGCATACTTTTTTAAGCACTTGGATAAACTCCAATTTGTTTCATGGTGGAGTTCTGAAATTGGGAATAATAGTTTTTGTGACCAAATTAAAGTAGGTATATAAATCCAATATACTTTGTAAAAAACACCTTAGATCATAATAACAAGAAAAAAATGAACTCTCCTTAATTGATCTATCAATAAAAACAATAGCTTAGCAGATAAGGTAAATTTAAAGAAAACCCACATAAGATCTTTAAGGCTTTTAGACAAAGGATATGTTACTGGAAAGTTTTCATCAGAGAATCCCAAAGGCAGTTCTCGTAATCTAGAAGAGTGATATTACACAAGAGGTCAGCTCACATTTGTTTGTTTCCAGCAAAAAGAAGATAAGTCTCAATTATATAAACAGTTTGATAACATCTTTTGTCTTGACATGTTTGAAATTTGATAATAAAAAGGAAATACAAACCAAACTGTTTAATAGGGGTTGTAATTAATATGTATATGTATAAAATATGTTGCATATTTTGTGTATTGAATTCACCTATGCGGATTGTTAATTATTAATAACATATCTAATGAGTATTGATTTCCCTTTAATTGATCTTCCTTGTAGATTACTCACCCAGTTTTTGTAGCACAAGGAAAGCTGGACTTAAACAGCTGAGCACCTTAGATATCGTTTAGTTTGATTTTAAGATTATCGTCTAGTATAATACGTTACTACTAGTCCGGAAAATAGGTGTTTAGTCCGGTAAACTTATTTTGGACGAGTGATGTACAATGGTTTTCTCCATTACTACACTAAAATTAGAAAACTGTCAAAATCGGTAATATGTTCCTACAAATTTAAGCAGGGGGATAAAGCAGTTTATTTACACCTTGCTCTATTTCCAGTTACATTTCCCACTTCTAGCACAGATCTTATAAAAAAACAGTCCATCCACTGTCTGTGACGAAAATATCTGTATAAATAGTTCAATAGTTATATAAAATAATCGTGTAACCGCCTACTGCTCCTGGTCACAATTTGGCTGGCAATCGGGAAGACTTTCCATCGGATTTAGGGAGGAAGGGGTGGGATAGCTCACTTCCGCTTGGAACGGATGTGAATTCCGAAGCTCTACAATAGGCAACTATGTCAGTCCAACCTTGATATGAATGTCTGAGTTGTCTTTTAACTTTTGTTCGTGGTTTTGAGATGACGGAATCTACTCCACAGAAGGAAAAAGACGTTTTGACGGAAATGATCAAAGTGTACAAATCTTACAAACTGTTGTGGGACACTTCTCAAGCTTTATATTTACACCTGAAAAACATCCAAAAACAACGTTTAAAAAAATCTAATAATGACGTTCTACAACGAAGGAAAGCCATGCTCAGATCGGGCGCAGAGAACGGGATGTGTAAACACTACGCTCTGTCGGCCAGGTGACAGGGCGGTCAGTAACGGGTTGTGTAAACGGGGATTTAGTCTTAACACACAAAGACCTAGATTTTTTGAACTTCCCGCTCTCCCAATCCATTTTGGGTTCAGGGAGTTTTGCACTCCATACCACCAACTCAAAATTCCCTCCCTCTCCCACACACATGCTTTCATTGTCCAGACTTAAGTAATAATATAAATCTAAGGTAATACCGCATCTAAACGTTATAAAAGCAGTTAGAACATAGCGACAGATTGACATTTAACTAGATATAGCCTTAACTTCAAACCAAGAAACTGTCTGATGAAAAACTGTGAAACTTTTAGATCCTATTTATCCAAAGAATTTAGTTTCAAAATGGATTGTTCTAATTTATGTACGATTGACTACATAAAAAAAATCAGGTATGGTATATTGGTGTGTTAGTGCTTGCATGCCAAATGCATTTGAAATAAGACTGTTTCTGTGGTTTTCAGCTCAGCATAAGTTCATACACATCATCACATAAAACCACACAGATACAAAAATACCAGTCACAAAAGACTTTTAATGAAAGACATCCAAACCGATCAAAGTTTGGTTTTTATTTTTGTTTCAACCCGTCACTCTCGCAACAAAGACAATGACATTACCCACAAGGCTAGCAATATACACAAAACATTATATTGCACCCTAGAAAAACTTTCTAGAGTGCCAAGCATATCCAAAACAACTTGAGCTAAAAGATATGGATTCAAATAAATGTTCTTCATTAATGTCAAATAGGGAAAAATGTGCTTTACGAAATATTTTTGTTGCAGATGCCGAGGAGCAGTCAGGGCCACTCGCTCCGTACTGGCCCACACAGACCCTGAATCCAAGAGACCTCTTCTGGCCGAGAACACCTCCGGCCTCAAGAAACGTCCAAAGACAATATCATCCCTGTGAGTATAGCTGTGGGTCCCTCCATAGTTTATTTGAAAACAATTTATATCTGAGATATCGTTTCGATTTTAGACAAAAATGTAGTCCAGAAACCCTAATCGTACCTAGAAGGAAGGTGTAAGGGTTTTAAATGTTTTTCCCCTTGAGTAATACTTTGGGTACTTTCAGGTAAAAGAGCAGTGACCAACTTTTAATTTGATAAGTGACGCAAGGTGATAATTTTCACGACTACTACAGAATAACTTGCCGGATCTGTTCTATTAAAGACATTCCTCCCTCTCAAACTGTATTTTTGTACATGAAATAAAAACCATAAAATAGCAACATATCAAAAGATGGTGGGAGTACCTGATTTCCAATTATTAAATGATGGATGTATGAGAGAAGCTGAAGCGAAGAGATGCGAAGATGGAGCAGATGGTCCACAATTTGTAGAGGGCCTCACAGCTATGGGGAATTACGGCCTCGCTGGTTGGAGGGCAGAAGGCGCCTTCTGATGTAGAGATGTCCAAGGATGTTGATGATGAGATGAGTGGTGTTTTTTGGTGTTGCCATTGTAGGAATAGAATTAAAAATGTATAGTTTAAACTTAAATTTACTCTTGATGATTTATCACTCTTCATGTGATATTAAATAGAAATAAATCAGATCAAAACTTGTGTTAATAAAAGTTAAAAGACAACCAAAACCAAAAACTTGGCACTTCTTGCGCCTTATATTTACAATTGAATTAATTATTAAATGTTTTAATTAGTAAAGAAATTAACACGGTATAATGGCACTTTTCAAAATTTGAGACTTGCTGGATCTTGATTAAATTTGGCTTGCTTTAACAGAAGAACTTGAAACTTATTAATACACTGGTTGAGAGAATTATGCTTTAAAATGCACTGAATTTAAGAGAATGCGTTAATAAGAGAATAAAAGTAAAGAAATATTAGCCATGGGCTGAAATAGCGGACGTGAATGAGAAACACGTGCACAACTACAATACTGCGAGACACGGGAGTCCACTCGTCGAGACGTTGAAGACGGAACTGAACTTTGTTAGTTGAAAACTCATAGAGTCCTTTCCCCCTCTGCAGGATTTTGACCGTCCAATCAGAAATAAGGAAAATATCGCATGATATACGACGAAGTTCAAAACACTGTTACTGGACGTAGAATACTGTCCACCCCTAAAATTCTCATTGGTACTTATACTCATGATTGGTGATGATAAAATAAATTCCGGTAGTTTGAGATTATGTTACTAGGAGCTACGAAGAAATCTCCAGCAAACGCAGAATAATAATAGAAGGGGAACAGGGAGTGTTAGCTGTTGCCAATTTTCTCAAACTAGACCACAGAGAAGTAGGGTACAGAGGAAACAGGCCTATGGGACGACCTTTTAGCTTCGTGGCTTGTGACAAGCAACAAATAGCCCAGGCGAGCATCGTGCGGAAATTCCTCGATCACACAGGGCACAGGGTCTTCCTCCACCATGAGCGTTGTAGTACATGATGGCGAGGTGGGCGGTGTTGTACTATACCCTAGACACCACACCTAGTGCTTGTCAAGTAATGTACAGAGAAAACATTCAATAACACACAAGTGTACTATTGAATGTTTCCTCTGTACATTACTTCTCTGTGACTAGACTAACCAAGATAGCGGTCGCCATCGCCACACCACTATTGGTGAGCGTTGGCCACTAGGCATAGATTTAAGGAATAGACAGATTTGTTTACTCTTTAATCTATAGTGTTAGTCAATGTCTTATATTTTATCTGATGTTGAAGGGATGACATGGGGACAGCAGCTGATTCTGTGGAACCCCCGCTACCTGATGTGGTGGTCAGAGTGGGGCCAGCGGGGCGTTTGTCCCATTCTCTCCCCACTATTAAAGAGACTTTTGCCTCGACCAGCCTCCAAATCGTCATTCCGTTCTTCATCGCAGGCATCGGAATGGTCGGTGCCGGCATCTACCTGGACATGGTTGCGGTAAAATCACAAAATATTTCACTTTTTAAGGTTAAGTTTGTACCACTGAATTCATACTTTTGTCTTAAAAGTTGTTTGAGTCTGTACAACATTTCAATTAAGTTTTGACTATAATGTTTTGTTATTAAATGTCCAAGAATCGGTAGGGCAAAAAAAATTAGAATTATATGCAAAGAACTCTCTTTTTTTTATTTTTTGCTAAACATTCCAGTAGAAGGTGAACATTTTTGGATATTGTTTACATGGGTTTTAATGGGATGAAATGGACATTATTATCACATGAAGGATTAGAAATCTTTACACAGGTTTTGGGTCCTGAGGTGAGCACAAATTTGTTTTTCTAAATGAAAGATACTAAAATAGTTTGCTTTCCATTGTTTAATATGAGTTGACCGTTTTTCCAGTAACTTTCAACTAATAGTAAAAGTTAAATTTTAAATGTTCTCGATTCTAGTCTTGCTTTTTGTGTTACTGTACTTTCAATTTTTCAAGGCAATCATAAGAATTAATGCTTAGCTCTAATGTTTATGTATACATTTCAAAATTTTTTTACATTTTGATCACAGTACTAAAACTTAAACTACACATGAAAAAAATTAAACATTAAATTCAAATTTAACATTCGACCTACTCCTTTTTACCTCAATTAAATTTTCTAACTTCTCTCAACTTCAGTGAAGAATATTTAACCCCTCCTTGTGTATTATATTGAAAGTCTTCAAGGAACTAAGAGCTGAAATAAAAACAAATTCTACAATGGTTTTATGGTATGAGAAAAAAACATTTCACAGGACAACGGTGTGACTGTTTCAGACATGACGTACAGAAATTTAAGTAACAGTCGTGTATAGTCAATTAGTAGTTTGTTATAGTAAAAGAGTAATATATAAAATACCTCACTCACTTTTAATCTTCCAAAATCAAAATTACTTATTACAGAGTATAAAGTTTTCATGTAATTTCCAAAATTTTTATGGTAGTTTACGCAACGATAGCGTAAAGATAGTGTTAACGACACAAGTAGAACAATTTAAGGTACGAGCCTTGGCGAGTGCCTTAAAAACTTCTACGAGTGTCGTTAAGACTATTTAAGCGAGTTGTGACTATTTATGCTATTTGCGTACACTACTTTACATACGACAGTGTTTAAATTACTAACAATCACTTCTCATAACTTCTAAGAGAAGTTATATGTTTTCGTTTGTAACCTCACATTGCCACTGACAGTGATGCAACAAGTATTGTACCAAACACTAATTGGCCACTCAACAATTAAAATTAGCTTGAACAGCTGATTAGTTGAAGTTGAAACATTACAATTTTACTTTTTTTCTCTCAATCCTTGAATCTCATTGGTCCGTTACCTGTGTTGTTAAGTAAAAAAACAATGCTGTTAAGTAAAACTTTTCAATTCTAAGAACTGAACTGAAACGGCTAGTTTAAAAAATGGTCGTAGGTAAAATATTTATTTACATATTTGTAAATAGGTATTATTTCATACTGATAAGATGTTTTTGTTTTTTAGAGGTGGGAAGTCTTCATAAAAGTACCTGAAATCATAGTATTAGTACCAGCATTGTTAGGATTGAAAGGAAATTTGGAAATGACCCTTGCATCCAGGCTCTCAACTGAAGCGAATCTCGGAAACATGGAGGATGCTAAAGAGCAGTGGAGCATGATCACGGCTAACCTAATTCTTGTTCAGGTAATTTTAATTTAAGTATTAAAAATGAAAAGCCAATATGATATTTACCATTGAGCTTCTAGTTTTCTCCTTTTCTGTAGTAGCTCCAAATTATTAAAACAAGAATCGTCCTGTGGTCGAAAACTCAACCAAAAATATCTAATGCTCAGACTTCCCTATTTTCACCCCACGCTGTAAAAAAGACATGTGATTGGAATTTCTTTAATTTGTTTTGATTTTCTGTTCCTATTTCGTTGTTATTTCGTCACTAGCATGACAAACCATAAGGCCCATGTTGATTTTTTTAAATTTTAAATTAATTTTTTGTGCTTATTTTTTAGTTTTTTTTAATTTATAAAGAGATTCTGCACACCTACAGGAAAATATCTTTCTATCAGTATGTGTAGATTTTCATTACGATGCACATGAGCTGAGAAAAAAGGTTTAAAAGAAAAATGTTTGTGTAATACATAGATATTTCCTTTTTGAACTTTATTTACAAAACCATATAAGTAGTATTAAAAATGGTCAAAGCAAAATCATCATACTTCATCACCCTTTTAGAGAATTTTCCATACAGGGAATAAGCTATTACTTTTATTAGGTCTTATGATAAGACCTACACCTGAGACTGATTTACTTTTTAGTTTTGAGGTCCCCCATAGGCCAAATCAACATCCATTCAAATATATTTACATATACAGTATTTGTCTGTTAGCACGATAACTCGAGTAGAGTTGATCACATTTTTATGAGATTCGGTATAAACTTGTAAACCTATATTTATTTGAACATGTCACCAAAGCAACAATTTAACAATTTCATTGACAATGTGACCAGTTTAATAGCATTGCTATTTACAAATGTTTTTATGTGACAATAAAGTGAATTTGAATTTGCATTTGAAGTTCACGAACCAAGCAAGATCGTACAATAGGAACAGGGTTTGGAGGTAGAGATTGGGTTTTCCCATTTTTGACCTTGAAAACATAACATTTTACAATTTCTTTCCAAACCATTTTGTAGAACTTGAAAAAATAATTTTATATATTGAAGTGTTGTTGACCTCAATTTACAGAAATCACTTGAAAATATCTTTAAGTTGCAGATAATTTTGTAACCAAAGCAATATGACAAAAGATTTGATAGAGTTTAAATTATCTCCCATACTTATATGAGCTACTTTATACTTTATACTTTTCAATGACCATACAAAGTACTTTTTACTTTTTACTTTTTTTTTTTGGGTGACCATACAAAGTAGGTATTTTAAGCCAAGTATGAATGGAGATGAGTCTAGGATGAGTGGTGCGATCTTGTAGTCCTGTTAGTGACTAAGGCCGACATATTCCTTAGACACAGCTGTTAATTAATAGCCCATACAGCTAATGGCAACTAAGGGACCTACAGTTTATAATGGAATCCGAACCAAATTTTTGCCTTGGTATTAACCAATTGGTCTAATTATCAGGATAGTACTACGGATAGTTGTAGTACTCACTAGTGCGGACGTTAATCCACACCAGGGAGTATCGCATCCACAGTGCATGCCTATAAATATTCACAATTCGTGATCTCCTAGTAGCTGGATTAATTGAATAGCAACGTAAATTGAAAAATTAAGTATTTGTGTATGAAATAAAAATGAAAATTCTTGTTTAAAATTATCTGTATGATTTAAAGCTATTTAAGTTTGATTCTTTTATTCTTTGATTCTTTGATTTAAGTATACATTTTTTCTTTTATAAATTTAATACCACGGTAAATTGTGCCAAAATACTCTGATAGACAGTTGTTTATGACACATATTGTATCAAATGATACTTATAAACATTGCATCAAATCTCACACCATTTTCAAGTGATTTACCATGGTACTTCTCTAATTAGAGTTTATTTGCGTATTCTTTGGTCTGGGTGGATAAATATCACATATATTCTAACTAAGATGCTGGATTTACTGTGTGGTGGAGTTTTAGTCACCTAGTCTACCCTCCATTACAACCCTTAACCTTGTTTACAGTGTCAGGCGACGGTAGTGGGGTTGCTGTCTTCCATTGTTGCTGTTGTGATGGTGGCGAGCATCAGGAACGACTTCAGCGGTCATCACACCTTGCTCCTGTGTGCGTGTAGCACGCTCACTGCGTCCATCGCCAGCTTTATACTAGGTTTGTTGTGACTACATAACTATAAGAGGACTGACTCAAATTATATTTTGAAACTAAACTTCGAGAAGTATTTTAACTGAATGTTTGAGAAATATAGTGGTCAGTTGTAATTTTTTCTTCAGCGAATTTCCCTATTGGAAAGAAGATATTACCGTAGGGTAGCACTGAAAGACCTAGACCTGGGATTGATTTACATTTTCATTTTGATGTCTGCAGAGGCAAAACACACAATTCGCTGAAATTTGTATACATGTAATTATTGTGTGCATCCATTTGAACATGATAACTTGAGTAATTTTATTCGATTTTGATGAAATTTGGCATGACTGTGTAGAGCTGGATCAACTTTGTTAAGCTCGCAAACCAGAAGATCTGGTAATGGGAACGTGGTGTTTTGGGGTTTTGAAATAATACAAAAAATTTGCTTTCAAATATTTACCCTTTAAATCATGGCATGGATTTCGCCAATTTTTTACAGCTATCTTGTATAGCTCAATAAAACAAATACTGTAATTGAATACCTTAAAGCATTTTTGTACGATTAAAGGTTTCAGAGAAAATAACTGGACATTTCAAATTCTCATGTTATGCTTATGGATTTTAATGTTATTCTCATATCCATTCTTGCTTGTTTATTGCCATAATTTGATCAAATTTAGCAAATTTCTTTATTTCATACCAAGCTTTATATAAAAAAAAACCTCTTTTGCAGCAAACCTAAGTAGGCCTACTTGTTAAATCTTATGTTATTTGAATTGGGAGTAAATATTATTATTTTTTTTTTCAGTAAAAATCCAATCAGACAAATTGAAATTTACTTAATCTGCAGGATTGCTACAGGGGAAGGGTGTTTAAATTAAAACACAGTAACTTATACCCTAATTGATCTGGACCCCATTTCTATGCACTTTGTTTAATCGGAACAGCTAGTAAACTACGCAGGTTTGTTACGCAAGTTTTTAGCAGTGTGCGATTGTTAGTGTGTGAAAGAGTGCAATAATGGTGGGAGGGGGGGTTGTACGTGCTGTTGTCATGGTTACTGTGAGACAAAATTAGCACATATCTCATAATAGTTCATCATTAAATATGTTGCCAATAGTAACAAAAGGATAGGCACAAATCTGGGTATAATGAACATTTAATACATCTCTGCCAGTTGATTTTTCAATACATTGGTGCTAAAGGAAGACAAGAGAATCCCAGCAGTTTCTTTAAACCATATGTCATGTGAATGTGAGTCTAAACCCTTGTTCGAAGTAGTTTTGTTTGTTGTGGTATCCTAAACATAATTACATAGGTAAAAAATTTTAATTTTAATGTAAAAACTCCATATTACATTTCATACATTGTACTATTCGTGCACAAAACTAATGTTTGTATTTTAAAATTCCGATCACAGTTTAGAAGTGGTAAGGAAATAATCTCAGCACTGCCTTTCTTCATGTTCGGATAATATCATTAACCTGGGCTTACATGTTGACGAAGCCTATTGTAACTGTGTTATCTAATGGCAAATAAATTCTTGATTCTTGATTGATTGAATCTTGACATTGCTCTGGATGACTTTGGACTCCAAGGAGTCAGTATTATTGAAGGTTTACTGTACCTCTTTCTACAATCTAGTACACTACAACTCTTTTTACTTTCTCCCCCTATACATAGTATATGGAGAAATTATTGTTTTCGTCCAAATTGTCGAGTTTGAGTTTTGAGTGATTATATCTGTTTTGGGTCCCCCTGAACCCAAAAAAGTGGGTTTCGAAGTGATGTCTGTGTGTGTGTCCGTGTGTGTGGATGTGTACAGAGCTACAGACCACACCTGGAGTCCGATTTTGATAACATTTTGTATGTAGGTACTAATTCATGGGATCTCCAGGTGTTTTTTTCATACTTTCAAAATTTTGATTTTTAATGGTGATTTTTGCATAAAACCCCAAAAACTAAAAAAAGGACTTTTTTCAAAATTAGCCTGAACGATTTTTCATGAAAATTTACTATGTTATAGTAATTTAAATTCTAAATAAAATTGTATAAATCCCATTTCTGTAAAAATTGCGGTTCCTAAGTTATTGCAACTTATTTTATTTTGCAATAAAAACCCAATAAAAGAACCAAAAATCAGATTATAGAAAAATACCAGTTTAGACTAAAATTAGTATGTTATGACCCTTTAAATTTGGAACAAAATAGTACAAATCCGTTTTCCATCAAAATTACAGTTCCAAAGTTATTGTAACTTATGTTATTTGCTCATTAAATAACATAATAAAATTTTAGGAAAAAAGCCGGTTTTGGTATAAATATTAATGTGTTATGGTCCTTATAATTCTAAAGAAAGTAGTGCAACCTTCCATTGTTGTAACAATTACAGTTCGAAGATTATTGCATCTTTTATGATTTTTCCCTATAAAATATCATATTTACTCTCACCGCTTACCCATGATGAAGGTTGTTGACAAGCTTATGGAAGAAAGTCTGTGTCTGATTGCTGATACCGTTTATTTTACCTTGGTTGTGACACCACGGCTTTATATTGAACACAAAATAAAGTTGGATATCAGAAGATCAAAAAATAAATGCCAGGGGAGCACCAAAAAGTGTAAGAAGTAACTCTTTTCAAGGTTGGACTCAGGCAAGCAAAAAGGCTTCCGGCAACTCCAATGAGTGAGTCATCCTAAGTTTAACTTGGGGGGGTTCCACTGATGTATACAGTGATATGTATATTAATCTCCAAACTAACTTTTGTCAATATATTATAAAGTTAACTTTGAAAATTTCCAAATAAGAAGCAAGCTACCATTGTAATGCTACTTAGTAGTTAGTGTTAAAAACTAAGAACTACATTTGTTATTATATTATTTCAAAACTAATTTAGCCATCTTACTTACTAGTTTAAGTAAGGCATTTGTGCATATAACTTCATAGATTGGGGTACGCAGCAACGAGGCTCCTCGACGCTTATCGAATCTCCCGCTCGCTACATGCGAGATAAGGTCAGTGATATGTTTTTGATTGCAATAAATATATCGGCTGCAGACATTCAATTGCCAGATGAGTACATTTGGATTACTAATGCAGTGATAGAGGGTAAATTGCAGGAATGAATAAAGGAGTTTTAAAATGGCCGTTAAAATGCACATTTCAGAAGGATTTGTGTTTTTGTTGGGTACTTAGACTTCTCACAAAATACCACAAAGGAAAAAGGTCTTTGCGGCCATTTTTACACTTCCTAACCCATTTATGCACTTTACCCTCGCTCATATCATTAGGGCAAACACCTTCAGTCATCTGGTGAAGAATTTCAGCATTGGATATGTTTCTTGTGATCAAAAAATGTATCACTGACTGGCATGAAACGGAAGATTCAATAATTTTTTTAAATTTTCTAAACACACATCGAAGTATACTGTGGCGCTGTTCTGTTCACAAATGATGCCAGTGAGGACCATTACGCAAACTTGAGAAGCTATACTCACAAACGGCCCTTACTTAAAAAACTACCCTCGAACATCACATTTTTGGCTGATTTCTGTTGAATTTTCATTTTAACGGAATCGTACGTATTTGTCCACAAGGTCTGGTCACTGCAGCTGTGATAGTCCTCTCCAAGAAGATGCACATCAACCCAGACAACATTGCCACCCCAATAGCTGGGAGTCTTGGAGACATCACATCTCTGGCCTTACTGTCTGTCATTGCAGACTTCTTCCACCGAACCGCTGGTTTGTTATATTGTGGGATGTTTTCATTTTCATTTAACTCTCATAAGCCTTACACCTGTGAGAACAAAGCATGAAATGAGAGTTTAATTATTAACATAACGAACATTATCGACTTGAATTTAAACTTGAACCATTGCTGCCACAGCCCTGATTTACATTGGAATTATACCATTAACTGATCCATATGTCTGTTTGGATCTTATTAAATTACTTATTTACACTTTTTTTATAAATTGTTTGTACACATTTAATTGGAAACATGATATGTGTACACATTCTGTAGAGGTAGTGGTGAAACACTTTCCGATTGTAAAGTAACCTCTCCTATTCAATGTTTCTACTATTTTCTACTTGGTATAGTAGAGTACTTCATTACAGTAAAATAATGAAAAACTAATGACTTATCCTTGCTCTAAATCAGTTATTGACTGGTCCGCTAGACACGTCCAATTTACTGTTATTTTTTACAATTGAAATCAGCTGTTTTTAATGTTTAACAATTTTAAACATAAATAGGCATTTGCAACGTGATAATTGCCGTTCTTAACTTGGTTCCGAATGTGATTTCTGATACTTAATCACTCCTATTTTTCCCTTCTTTCGCTTCACCTTGTACATGAAACTTGAGTGTGTACCGGAAAATGTAACTTTTGGTATTAATGAAATATACTATTACTTTTACATTAGTCTGTAATACTAAACACTTTTGGAAACAATTAAAACTGTGCAATCGTTTGATTTTACTTCTGTCCACTTATCAATTCATAATCAAACTGGTAAGCAATAAAAAAAATGTATTTTTTAAGTCTGTGTTGTTTTTCATTCCAGATGAGTTGCCGCTTCTCCCCGTAGGTGTTATAGTTTTGTACATAGCAGTTATGCCATTTTGGTATTGGATCTCTAAGAATAATAAATACACAAGAGCTGTGCTTTACTCAGGATGGACTCCTGTGATAGTCGCAATGTTGATCAGCACGTAAGGATAAGAATAAGTAATACATAATAATAAGATACACTTAACAATAAGTAACAATTACAATCCAATTTAGCCACCTTTTAGCTATTGTTATGTAAAAACATCAATATGTTCTGTAATCTGAACTGTTCAATAGTCCAAACACCCCTGGTCCCATTTAGTTTGGATTAAAGAGGTTCAACTGCATTACATTCATTCTGATAAAAAAACAACCTATCAGAAACCATTCAAATCAGATATAATACTAGGAATTAAAAATTTTTTAGATTTCTTGGCACCGTTTGACCTTTTGTGAAAAAAGTCCATTACTATTTGTGGAGCTGACTGTACATGTGCTGCCTGCATAAACAATAAACACACAACAATAAACAATAGTTGTGTGTGGTTGTGTTGTTGGTGATTGCAATTGACAGACCATTTAATTCTGTATTTATCACTTGTAAGGAATGTTATGTGCAAATATGTCTGTGCCTATAGGCTGTATCTCTATATCTATGTTTACGGTTCCAGGCTTGGAGGAATGATTCTAGATGAGATGGTTAACAAACACAAAGGAGTCGCGGTGTTTCAACCGGTCATTAATGGGGTGGGGGGTAACCTTGTGTCCATCCAAGCCAGTAGGCTCTCCACGGCTCTTCACCAGAAGGCAGAACTGGGCTTCCTACCTGACGACGTCACTGTCTGGTCTTCCCCTTGGAGCGCCTTCTTCTCAGACAGTGAGTTGAATATGGTCAGAAAGTCTAAAATTATTAGATGTATAGACTTAATCAGGAGGTTAAAATTTAATACAAAATCAAATACAAATCAATTTTATCATACATTTTTGTGACATTTAAAAACAAACTATACATACTTTGTGCCAAGGCAGCAATGTTGTGAGTTCGGATCCTGGTACCTGCCACGACTTTTTACTATTCATTCCATACATTTAAAATCAATTCTTGATTCTTGGTGATTGTTTAAGTATCGAAGCTAGCAAACAGTGGTGTGAAAATTTCATCCAGGTTTCCCAGCAAAGTTTGTCTCAGGACCTCTCTTTTAGCTTAGAGAACAAAACAAATCTAATTAGTTCATAACGAAAAGTATAGGCTTATAGTGATACTAACAACTAAATTGAAATATAAACTACAAAAACTGCAAAGGATTGAAAATACAATCAATTGCCCCCTCTACTACCATACCTAGTAACTCAGTGCTAAGGCCTTAGATTAATAAGCCAGACGTTGATGGTTCAAGACCAGTCATATCACAGAGTCACCTCTGACTTGCCTATGGGACTTTCCGTAGTGATACTTCACTACAGACTAGAGGGCTTGTGGTTACTGACAGTCAATTTTAAAAAGAAAGAAAGAATCAAATGTTTATCCAATTATCACTAAAGAAAAGAGACCTTTAGGAATCAATTATTTGATATGCATACTTACATTAGTACAACGTTTTAAAATCTGTAAGAAATATTTGGTTTTATAAACCCTTCAAATCTGGATACTAAATAAATCAGACCAGATTTGTGTTGCATAAAATATTAATTGGATGACTGTGGTCATTCTGTATGCAGTGACAAAGTTGTAACTTTCTAAAACTTTACTATATCTATGCTTTGAGAGATGGTTTGATTGTTTATATACTTATTTCTACTTTACTACAAGGGTAAAGTAACAGATTGAAATACATTTGCTCAGATTGAAATTTTAATATTTTATACTGATATCACAGCGTCATTAAGTGAATCATAGTCATGACTCTCCATTTTTATTAAAATGTTTGGATAAAATCAGTAACAGTAACAGCCGATTGTAAAACTCCTTATTTTTTAGAAATTCAGCCTCAATCAATTCTCACCATTTAATCATGGTCAACTAGCTGTATTGGAAAGCAACTGTTTACTTCTGATAAGTCCAATATTAATGATTGTAAAAATATAGTTTGACAATAACCTAAATCGTCTCCATCTTATCCATAAGGAGATTAAATCTATGAGAGAGTTTAATTAATTTATGCTATAAATTTAAATATAACCTGTGTTTGGCACTAAAATCTGTCCATCTTTACAAAATGCTTTGTAAAGTCTATTGCTATCCATATTAAATTGAATGATTCAAACTGAAATTCTAGTTTGAACGTGTGCTAGTTTTCTTATGCAAATAAAAATGCTTATGGCCACATTTTAAACCACATAGGACTTGAATCTAGTAATTTAGCAAATCTTTTTACTTTCTCCCCCTATACGAGTATATAGAGAAAGTATTGTTTCCGTCAAAGTTTTCGAGTTTGAGTTTTGAGTGGATATATGCTTTTTGGGTCCCCATGTACCCAAAAATTGGTTTTCTAAGTGATTTCTGTGTGTGGGTCTGTATGTGTGGATGTGTACAGAGCTAAAAACCACAACATCCACCGAACATAACACGAATGTTATTTTTTGTAGTTTTTTTGGATTGGTGTTGTCCAATTTTTATGACATTTGGTATGTAGGTACTAATCCATGGTATCTCGAGGCGTTTTTCATTTTTTTTAAATTAAGATTTTTAATGGTGATTTCCCCATAAAATAAAGAAAAATCATATGTTCTAAAAAATGGCCTGAACGATTTTTATACAAATTTAGCATGTTACAGCCCTTTAAATTCTAAACAAACTGGTACCAATCCCACTTCTGTAAAACTACGATTCAAAAGTTATTGTAAATTAATTATGTTATTTTCCCATTAAATAACAAAACCTCAGAATTTAGGTAAAATCCAGTTTTTATTAAAATTAATGTGTTATTTTCCTTATAATTCTAAACAAAATAGTGCTACCCCCCATTGCTGAAACAAATCAAGTTCAAAAGTTATTTTCCCTATAAAATATCATAGTTATTCTCATCCCTTACCCATGATAAAGGTTGTTGACAAGCTAATGGGAGAAAGTGTGTGTCAGATTGCTGATACCGTATCATTTTGCAGCTCCGCACGCTCTGACAGCTCGAGTGCTCATGACTCTGATGGTGCCGGGACATACTCTGTTTGCCTATATCATCAACTACTTCAAGTTTGAAGATCAATCTCTTACTATTGCCTTCCTCATCTCATATCTGATAGCTGCTGCTATACAGGTGATTATATTACATATAACAGTCAAACAGTCAAACAATTTCCGGAATGAATTTCTGTAGACATTTGGTGCGATCGCCAGTGGGAAATTCGCCTTGCAGTAGTTGGTACGACTCCTGGGGAGGGCATATTGGTAGTGGGGATTTAGCTGACAAGCCGTAGCGCAGCATTGGTAAGCGCTTTTCGTGTACCTGCAAGTCGACATTGTCGGTTACTGTCAGTCGTGTACCTGCATCAAAAATAGCATTTAATGAACTTTAGTGTGTGTGAACTATAGTTCTGTGTTTTACTTAAAAAACTATCTTGTGAGACTCTTGAGTTGTTAATTCAAGCTTATGGAAAAGAGGCGATGAAGAAAAGTCAAGTTTATGAGTGGCACAAACGGTTTTGTGAAGGCCATGAAAGCATTGACGATGACCCTCGTAGTGGACGTTTTTCAACATCAGTCAATGAAGTAAACATTGAGCAAGTACGACAAGTTGTGTGTGAAATTCGGAAATTAATTAACAATCAATAAAATTGCATTTGAGGTGCATTTATCTCATGGAAGTGTTCACACCATTCTTCATGATCATTTGAACATGCATCGAATTTGTTTGTGAATGGTTCCAAAAATGCTGTCTCCTGAGCACAAAGAAACTCGAATTTTAATGGCTGGTAAATTCATTGATAAGGCCGATGCAGATCCAAATTTTTTGAATTAAATTGTAACTGGTGACGAAACATGGTGTTATCTCTACGACCCTCTACCAAATTTGTGCCACTCAGTTTGTGGTACACGACCGACAAAGTGAAAGTAGACTTGCAGGTACAAAAAAAGCGCTCACCAATGTTGCACTATGGTTCGTCAGCTATACCTCCACTACTGATATGCCCTCCCCAGGAGTCGTACCAACTATTGCAAGGTGAATTTCCCACTGGCGATCGCGCTTAATGTCTACAGAAATTCATTCAAGGAATTATTTGACTGTAGTAGTATTTAGTGTTTTGTTTTAATTATGACCAGGGATGTATTTCCCTCTGGGAAAGTGCCATACAGCAGCACTGTTATTGATTATTTCCCAGTGTACTAGAACCTGTAATAAAGTGTTGTTATGAAAAATGCCTCATTCCAGTTTTGTAACTGGAAACATTCTTATTAAATATTGATTTATTGATCGACGGAAGACCCTTTTTACAAGCAAGTTCATTAGCCAAAAAGCATACAATTAAAGTCATAACCAGATAGAATCCTTGGGAATCCAATCCACCTATTACACTGTGTATATTTCTGTTATAGGTTGCCATACTGTTGTATGTAGCGTATGGCTTGACCCATGTGTTCTGGCGACGTAGGATCAACCCGGACAATAGCACCATCCCCTACCTCACAGCTATGGGAGATCTGCTCGGCATTGTACTCCTCGGCTTAACCTTCGAGTTCCTTTCGCTCATTGGAGAGCCTATGACTAATTAAGAGTAGGATAGGGAAAATATAAAGCAATTAAATGACTGTGATTTTGCCTTGGTGCATGTTATCTAAATTAAAAATTTAGAATGTTTTTAACATATCTTTGATTACTTATGTACATAACCACCCACCTTAGTAAAAAGAAACATCGTTTCCTGATAACTATACGATAACGATCTTTAAAAAAGAGAATGGTAAGCTGATAGCGATTAGAGGAATTTAAGTTGTGTGATATTTTTTAAAGATCTTTGAGCTTAGTGTTTAAAAGAAAAAGATTGTTGGTCGACAATTTAAAATTAGTTTTAAAATTATTTTATAAATTGTTATCGCTTTATTCTATAGTAAGGAAAATATTAGGTCTGAATAATTAACTCTTAAGTGAAACTACTAAGTAGTGTCTACAGATACATAGATCAAACTTAGACCACTATTTTTCTAACTTTAGTAAACTAAAGTCCTCCGTAGATTGATTTCCATAGTTTTCAAATGGAAGATTACGGATTTGATTGTTATATTTGAAAGGAAAACGCAAATCCAAACAGTTTTTAGTCATGATCAGGAAACCTAGATCCTTGTAGTATTGTATCATATGGTATTGGTATAATGTTAAAACAGCTAATAACATACGTAATTTTGTATGATAAAAATATGTTATATTGAGCATATTTTTTTCACCTAGCTCGTAGAAATTATCTTAAAAAATATACAAAAACGGTTTACGTGGTTTAAAAGAGATTACCTCACAAAAAGCTAGTCAGCTTAAGCCCAAGTTTTATAATTATCATCATTAGCACAATTTTCAAATCATAGATAAACCTTAGTGACATGGTGCGTATGTTTGTCACAGTAGTTACTTATATCACAATACCATTTTTTTAAACATACATCCATTAATCATAATTGACAGCTGATGGATATATTTATTTTGTCAGATTTACTATATTCTCCATGTAAAAATGTAAGTTGAACTAGCAGTTAGGGCGGAAAGAATTCATAATATTTTTAATTCTGAACTCCAAAAAGAAATTGTAAAAAAAATTAAGTTAATTAGGGATCCATGGGGGCATAACATGAGATAGCCCAAATTACAAAAAAAATACTGTACCGTTTATAATGCAATATTGTAATAACATATATTTAATTTTGCTATGAAGGTCTTCTTATGAAGATCATTTTTTAATTTTTGTTTTTAAATTCGAATAAATAAACAGATTTTCTTCTTATACCTAAAAAAATACAAGAGGCTCTAACCCCTGAACTAAACATCTTCATCTTAAGATCTTAATAGCAGTTTTCTGTTATCTACTTCTCCCTTTGTAAGCACATCACAATACCGTGCTGGTCCCTGAGCACAGGTCTTCAGTCTTAGAAGTCCAAATTCAAGTCCACCTTTATCTTTAGGTTCAACTATTTAGGAAAAGTATAGGTCCTTCAGGCGCAAACTGTCCCTTTAATGGAGATCCTTTTCATCGATATATCCGTCCAGATATCAGTCACTCTAATTAAATTCAGTTCAAAGATATAAATGTTAAGCTTTTTTATATGGTTTAAGATGAAAATTCTACACTACCATCTCTAACATTAACCAATGTATAAAATAAAACTTGAAAATTGCATGATTCTATATCCATCCCAAGATTTTTTGAAAATAAAAACTAATTGAAAATATCAATGGGATATACCATTGAACTAAATTGAGAGTCAACTTAACTTATTATTTTCACTTTTTAATTAGTAGCACATATTTTTAAGCCCTGGTCTGTAAGGTTTTGCTTTAAATTTTCTATAAGAAATAAATCAAAATTATGTTTGTATATAGAAGACTGAAATTTAGAACAAAAAAGTGGATATTTTCTTATGCTTAACTTAGATGAAGCTTTTACTTGCTTCTTTCTCCTAATAAACATAACCTTCCTTATTGCCACTAGCCCATTTTTTTACTGTTTGCAACTTAATCATAAGGAGAATGACTGAATTCAGGCCTAGAACAGGTAGAAGCAACATTTTGATTAGTGCTTCTTTAAAGACAACTTGATTTTTTCACAATAGTTTTTCCCATGTATGATCATGAAATCCTACTGTCTTAAAACAAGGTAATGGGCTTTTATTTGAAATCTGCAAGCCAATAAACATATCATAGGTAAATTTTTTAGTCCAGTACTTGATCTACAAATAAAATTTTATTAAAAATGTGTAGCAACTGCTGCATTGACAATACAATTGTGGGATTGAGTTATGAAGGAATATGCACTCTTCAATCTTTTGTTGTAAGTTTGTTATACTAAATTAATATATCTTTAAAGTAAACAAATTATATGAAAATACTCCAAGTCTTGGTTTTGAATTTATCTTCATTCAAGAGGGTTTTAGAACGCAGTAAATATGCATGTCCCTAACACTTTGAAATCATTTCCCCGAAGTTAGAACTTTGCATTCATTACCCTATTATTTAATGTTCAGTAATGTTAAGACAAAGGATTTTATGATTCACACAAACAATAGAGAGAGGTTAAGTCAACATATCAAAGTTAACAGTCAGGTAATGTCGATTGTATTGGATAATAACTTAACAATTTCGTAGGAGGTGTAAGAAATGTAACATCACATCTTAAATTCTATGTTATAGAATCTAAGATAGATATGTTATAGACAAAGATATATCTATGTCTTAAAAATCACATGTTATTCACCACAAAAATGAGTTTTATACAGGGTGTTTTTTTAAAAACTTGCATCTTTATTTATGTAAAAACCGCAATAGATAGAAATATGCAGTTTGCGGGAATCATCTATTGACGTAGGGGGACCAATTGTTTTGAATTCAATGTTACATTCACATTCCCCCCCTTTCCCCCCCTGCCCCCAACTTATTTTTTTTAAATAGCAAGGTACCCCTTGTGACATATCAAATGAAAGAGCATAAAAAAAGAAAATGTTTGATGAAAAAAAATTGAAAATCGGTTCATAAATTTGTGAGATATTCCCCCCCTCACCCCCCCCGGAACTTATTTTTTTTTAATAGCAAAGTACCCCTTGTGACATATCAAATGAAAGAGCATGAAAAAAGAAAATTTTTGGTGAAAAAAAAAATTAAAATCGGCTCATGAATTTATGAGATAATCACCCCCCTTTTCCCCTACCCATAACTTGTTTTTTTAATTAGCAAGGTACCCGCCCTTGTGACATATCAAATGAAAAATAAATTTCACCAAAATTTTTCTTTTTTTATGCTCTTTCATTTGATATGTTACAAGGGGTACTTTGCTATTAAAAAAAAATTAAGTTCCAGGGGGGTAAGGGGGGGGGGGAATATCTCACAAATTTATGAACCGATTTTCAATTTTTTTTCATCAAACATTTTCTTTTTTCATGCTCTTTAATTTGATATGTCACAAGGGGTACCTTGGTATTTAAAAAAATTAAGTTGGGGGCAGGGGGGGAAAGGGGGGGAATGTGAATGTAATGTTGAATTCAAAATAATTGGTCCCCCTACGTCAATAGATGATTACTGCAAACTGCATATTTATATCTATTGCGGTTTTTACATAAATAAAGATGCAAGTTTTTAAAAAAACACCCTGTATATTTTCTTCAATTTGTGTTTTTAACAAAAAATATATGTAATTAATGTTTTGATTAACGCTTTGTGATTTTAACACTATCAGTATTTTGAAAGGGAGAGTCTGCAATTTTGTTTGTGAGACTAATAACATTAACATTAATTAAAGTATGCCTAGAAAGTGCAATTATAACGTATTGAGTGTCTCTTAAATGTGAATTTGTGGAAAACTCTATTTTCTTATAGTTTTGAATGCATAAAGATAGGTCATATTGAAATGGTGTAGTTATTAACTATGTAAAAGGGTAATTCTGGGGGAAGGCATGCGAATGCAAATTAAATGTCTTCAACTAAAGTGCAAACTATTTTTTTATAAACCAAAATGCTTGGATAGACATATTTTAACAAATATGGATCGTAATACCTTTTGACAACATAATTTTAACCATTTGGAACATAAATAACTATTTGTGTATTAAGAGCGCAAAGTATGTCATTGCCCTTCTAGAACTATAGATGGCCGCACAAAGCTTTAGCTGAGTGCGGCCATACATTTCGTGAGCGGCAATGACTGTTTGTGCTTGTAATACACACAAGATTTTTCCTACCACCATAATGAACTTATCATAACACACAGATTAACTTCTTAGTTGCACTGTATATAACATGTCATTTAGGTTATGTTTGCTTTTGTTAGGTTATGTTATTTGCTTACTGATTGTCAACGTACCTGATCTGCAGCTGTCGTTGGTGTAGAAACACCAACAGTGAAATCCGCTGATTAGCAAGTCAGAATGTTCCCGCTATTGAGCTATTTTGTGTACTGTTTACAGCTGTGGCAATGTAATTTCCATGCATTGGTAGGAAAAATTACTATAGCAATTTTAGTTACTGTGAACATAGTTGTGATGTGTTTGTCTGTTGTCAGATATCTCTGTTGTTAAGGTTGTGTGGTTACGGTGGTGTTATTGCTAACACTTTATCCACTCTTGTCCGTAAATATTTTTTTTTTACCGTATCTCCTTTATTGATTTGTTCTTGGAGCTATCAGAAGGAAATATTTAATTTACAACTTAGCAGGATTTCCATTCAAAAAATGTTTATTTATTGTTCAAAATAAACTAACAAAATAAAATTAATTATTGGAAATATTTTCACTTTTAGCCCCATGGTTAGAGGTACCCAAATATGTTGTAACTGTGCCTTCCCCAGGATTTAACCCATATTTGTTTGAGAAGAAATATGTTGCTTAATGTAATTTGTAAAATATTGTATAGCCACGTTGTAAGATATGTCGTACTAAAGTGAGATTTAAAATATATTGAGATGTACAATTAAAACAACCAGCTTTTAGTATAGTTGCCTTATTGCTGAAAGTGTTGCTTTCTGTTCTCAGTTTTAGATTTAATTAATACAACTTCATTGTTATAAATTACCTCAGAATTTTTGGTAAAAATTAAATATTTAATAATAATAATAGGTTAAATACCTTATTTACGCCTTCAATCCAAGTAGTCTTTTTATGATTACTATAGTTTCAGGGCTAACAGCTCCATTGTCAAATCTTCTTGTCTTGTTAAATTACTGTTAATAGCATTGGTCATTGTTGAAGTTCACATGTAGACATACACTCACACACGAAACATTTATATATACAAGCGACATTGAAAATTTGTATTTTGGCCGGCCTAAACAAAAATGATTAGCGTTGTGGTTGTATGGACCGGTACACTGACTGACTGATTCATGTTATCCGATACCCTGGAGACGTTGACATAGAAGATAAAGGTAAGATAAGACGTAAATAAGGTATTTAACCTATTGTTATTATTACTCTTTATCAATCCAGGAGGCAAAACATAGATAAATTAAATATTTGTCTGATAAATAAAGAGAACTGGAGTGACTGTTTATAAAACAAACACATTGCTAAACTCGTCTTGCCACAACTACCTGAAGTGGTTTGTACACATTTGTCACTGAAGATCCTGATTGTATGTGAATTGTGTACATTAAAAATAATTAACTTAAAATTAAACATTTGTTTTTTGGGTGTTGAACTGTACAATGCTACATAAATGTGACATTTGATATTTTGAGTGAAGAGAGGACAATAAATCTGTTGAGACTATCAGTGTTTACTTATTTCAGCTGTCCCCAGTCAGTCAATAACTTGGCTTGAGATGGATTAATAGGACCATGACTTTTAATTTCTTCACTTATAATTTTTGGGTTTGATTTTTTTGAGGAAATATTACTGTGTGGTCCAGGAAAAAATTAAAATTGGTTTTGGATGAATATTGCCCACTGTGTAATAAAGAATGAACAGTGCTAGACAAAGAAAACACCAGTGAATTGGATCAATGAAATTTAGTATGTCGATGCTGAACATAGAGGTTTGTTTCTGTTTTTGGAGATTTTGGACTAACCCCACAAAATAACATAACAATTCTAACTCCTAAAAATGTAGATACAACTTTGCGCCAAATACAGTTTCCCCACACAAAACATTGTCTACAATAATGAATGTTTTATGGTAAAAAAAGTTTATTTTAGTTTCAGGGTTAACATGAAAGTATCACTTCCTGAAACTCTATATTTTATCATTTCAAAAAACATTTAACCGACCAGGGACTTTTTGGACAATCTGTATGTTGATAAAAGAGAAATGCCAAACTAGCCAACAGTCTCTATGACTATGGCTTGAATGATATTGATTGAAATTAAAAATAGTAATGTTTTTGATGTTAAATATACAATTTAACCTTGATATAACGAACCTCAATATAACAAATTCCTTGATATAACAATTTTTTTTTAATCCTCTAGAACTCTCCATGAGGCACAATGTATGTTTTTTTTACACCTCTACATAACAAACAAACCATATCAACAACCTTGATTTAACAAATTTTTCATGATCCCGGCTAAAATAAGACACCTCGACATAACGAATTTATCATTGTCAGAACCTCTACATAGCAAATTTATCCTCTACTTAACGAATTGTCTGCGTCTCTCCCTCGATACAACTAACCCCCACTCCATTATTGTTTTTGAAAAATCAGTTTCTTCATAAAATGAAATGGTAAGGTGACGTCAACGCTTGCGCTAACATTCGTCTACTCCGTTTTACACATCCCTGTCTGCTGTCGTCGCTGCATGCGCATTATGTTACAACTGAGAGAGAACTGATTTCATTCACTGAGAACTGATGACAACGTAATGTTTAGTAAAATGTGATTGGGTGATAAGTAACTATGGTAACTTGTAAAATTTTTGGATGAAGAGAAACCTAAGAAAGATAAAGAATAGAAGAACAAAGCAAAGAGAAAGAATAGCAACATCGTTATTTTAACATTCCTTTTATGAGTGTTTTTATTATCTTTAAGTTGGCCCATTATTACAAACTTTTAAAACAACTTATCTAACATTTTTATTATTTTCAATACCGTAAGATATTGTTAAACTAAGGCAACACCAATGCTATAGTTGTTGATAACTACAGTATTGACATTCCTCTGTTGTGATATAAAGCAGTACTGTAGCCTACCGGCCTATCACAAGCAGTAGCTTACAAAACTCTCTACTGTTTTGTTTTGTTCTATTTGCGTGTTTTATTGCTATACAATACAGTGTTTGGCTAGGTTTTAGGTGGGTTAGAGTAAGCTATGATTTTAAACTTACAGTTTATAACCTGTACCAAGGCCGATGACTATAAATGTCATGATTGTGCAATATTAAAGATCCCTAACCTTTAGTACCCAAGATAATCAAGGTTCTACTTTACAATGTAAACACTGTTTGCCTAGGCTACTTTAATTGTGTTTTAATGAGGTCAAATCTCAACCTAAATTGACTGATGCTGGTTCTGAACCTCGACTAAGCAAAATTCCTGCAAACCTAATCTCAATATAACGAACCTCGTTTTAACGAAATCCTTGATATAACGAATATTCAGTTCGGTCCCTTCAGATTCGTTATACCGAGGTTGGACTATATGATATACGATATTTATTGTAACTAAACCACTCTGACTATTATCTACCCATTAACTGTTTTAGTTTCAAGCTTGTTTATGTAGCCGAGAGTATTCATGTATTTTTAAGAATGGTGAATACAGTATGTAAAATGACTAAACTTAAGATGTTAAGGGAAGAACAAAATGATGATGAGACAGATTTTTAGTAATAATTATTAATGAACTGTTAAATTTATTTTAACAACAAAATATTTTTACAAATGTTGTACATCGAAGGTAAACATAAAATCCGATTAATACTCAAAACTATAAATAACAGTCTTTATTTTGTAAAACATTTAATCTCTGATTATTTGAATCTTAATTGTAAAGTGCCATAATATTGCTGTGTCTTGAATATCAATGAGGTCAATATTTATTAAACATAGTTTTCATATGTATTTTTGTGTAATACATCAGTTATAAAGGATTATCAATAGCAAACATAACCAAAAATATTTTTAAACTCTTTCCATGTAAAGGCTTTGATTTTTTTTTACTTCACCGTTTTAATTTTGTTAGTCTAATGGACACTGGACACTTGGTTAAAAACTACTAAAGTTTAGTCTGCAGTAGTCCAGCATCACTGCACCGTTTAAAACCATTGAGAACTCCATTTCCGTCCCTAAACTATCAAACCACCACAACTCATAAGAACTCTACTTTAACCAGTAACACTGGATATCTGACGAGTTATTTTACAGCTTGCAAAACCACATAATTCTTGAATTAATAGGGTTTTTTTGCCAAAAATGTCATCTAAAACGTTTTTTGTTCTGTATCACAACATTTGAATCAATGCAATTTTTTTATGCTTACAAACATTTCAATGAAACAATCACTGTGTAGCACCAAAACCAGGATTATATAACTATATTCGAGTTTGAATTCTATAGGTGATATGGCAAAAACTCAGATAATCAGAGTTTCATTCCCTAAATGAGGCAACAAGGCCTAGTGACTAGGCTATCACAGTTCTGATGATGTGCTTGTAGACTTTGCACGTCGAATGTTTTTACTTATCAACGTTCTGATGATCACGACTGGGTGATATTCTTCCGGTTGCAAAACTGTTGTATCTCTGCCATGTAGTTATTCCATGACTGAAAGGTCCTGAGCTAAAAATAAAATTAGAAATTAAAACTCCTATGATATGGCAAAATGTTTGTTAAAATCAAATACACAAAATATTGTAATATGATCAATTTACACTATATACATGTGCTATGGTTTTTTAAAATCATGCCATGTTTTTGTGTTGTGTCTAGCATTCTTGGTGTGTACATCATTTGAGGACATCGAAAGATGGATGTTTAAGTCCTGTTGAATAGTAATGGCTTGCCAGGAGCCCGACCCTGAGCCATCCAATACAAGGACAGGTCAGAGCAAGGAAAAGGCATACCTGAATGGGTAAGAGTTAATTTTGGCACAAGAAATGCAAATCTTTATACACTGAACACAAAAATTATACTTTACTTTACTGCCACTGACATTATTTTCAACCATAGAAAATTCACATTCAGAAGAAATTTATCTTGCTGGCTATTGTGCCAAGATGGGCTCTTTCCCATGTAGGGTATGCCTATCATTGCAACAATCCTTAAAACATTGTCGTAATTTGTCTCTGAGTCTATAAATTGCTAAACCAATTTCTGAATTTTAAATTACCTCCAGCTCTTCCATCATCTTGTTCCTTTAAATTAGATGTTAGAGAATACAACTGAACTAACCTTTGATCGTATCCAAGTGGGAAGACTCTCTTGTACTTCATTAGCCGAAAATCTTGAATCAACCAAAACTATGGCTCCCCAGTCATTTTGATGACGAATGCATCTACCCAGGGCCTGGTTAAGAGCTCTGAAAACAATTAAAAATTTAAAATCAGAAGTCTATTTCATAACACAAAGAAACTTAAAAATATTGCAAATTTCAAATCACAATACAGTACCATTAATGTCAAATTATTAAAAATTGCGGATTACCAAACGTCTTCTGAAATCAGACATTATTGCAAGACTAGCGAAAGTACCGCTAATTTGTATAGCATCAAATGGAAATATGGTCATGGTTCCATGTTTAATTGTGATTCCTTTTAGTTAAGCAGTGCTATAAATGCCAAAAGTAAATTAAAAGGAAACACCTTTGAATTAGATTGAGTGCAACCAACATCTGCTGCTTGCTCTCGACTCTGTTAATGGCTATCGACATCTGCAATTGCTCCCAACACTGTCAAACGTGCTAAAAAGGATTAAAACATAATTTTCTTTATTATCAGACCTTGAGATCGATTGGTAAAAGTGCTGGACCATGAGATGCCAGATTAACGGGATTTTACTGTAGTGTTTACAAACACTTTAAAACTCCCAGCACTAAAACAGCATAGAAAACCCCAATATTAAAAAAAGTAACAAGGAATATTTAATGGACCTGTCCTTATACTCAGCGTCCTTATACTCGCAGCGTTACCTCGATGTTATGTATGGAGCTGGCTTTACATCATGTATTAATAATCCAACAAGAGTTACACATAACTCAGAGAGCTGCATTGACCACATTTTTACAAATAATAAAAATATTAGCGATGTGAAATCTGCGATAATCAAAACATCGATAACCGATCACTTCATAACTGTTGTGTCAGCTGATATAAATGTCCGTAGATTAAATACAAATAGTGTAAACCGAAGCTTTGTATGTGTTGACTTGGGGGTCGCCAAACAACTGTTGAGCTGTCATGACTGGTCCTCTGTACTTGCTACTGAAGATGTCGATGAGGCGTGTGATGCATTTGTGCGACAGCTGCAGGATATCACACTCAAAGCAACATCAAATAAATATTTTTCTTCGAAAAATACTAAATTAAAACCTTGGATCACCGCTGGCCTTGTAAAATCAATTCGTGTGAGGGACAAGATTAGTAAACAACTAAAAAAACAACCATTTAATCAGGCCTTAAAAGATCATTTTTCAAGATATAGAAACATTTTAAATATGTCAATTAAAAGAGCAAAAGAAATGTATTACCAAAAAAAGATTGATGAGTCGAAAAATAATAATAGACTTTTATGGAAAAACTTAAATGAAATTATTGGAGTGAAAAAGAAAAATGATGAGTTTCCCATTAAGAGTTTCATTCCTGAGGATAGGTTTCCTGATCAGACAAGCATTGAACAAGTTTGCAATACTTTCAACGAGTATTATGTAAATGTAGGTGCCAACCTAGCCCGCGCTGTCCCGCCGGTACTTGAGCCAGTGATCAATGATGATGACTATACGACTGACACTGTCTTCCGGCTGTTGCCTGTCACGGAGGCGGAACTTGGTAGTGTTGTTATGAGCATAAGGGGTGGGTCTGCTCCTGGTGCTGATAAAATTCCAACAAAAATGATCAAAGATAACTTTATTGAACTAAAACAACCTCTTTTGCAAATAATTAACAACAGCTTACTCCAAGGTAAATTTCCCAGTATATTGAAAGTGGGAAAAGTCTTGCCTATATATAAAGGAGGAGAGAAAACACAATGTGTTAACTATAGACCAATTACTTTGGCTAGCGTCATTGCCAAGATAATAGAGAAGTGCGTTAGAATTCAGTTTGAAAACTACTTAATACAGTCTAATATTCTCTTTGATAAACAATTCGGCTTCCGCAAAGACAAAAATTTGAATGACAATCTTTACTCTCTAACTAACAGTATACATGAATCAATTAATAAAAACAAAAAACCTCTTTTAGTATTCATTGACTTGGCCAAGGCATTTGATACTGTTGACAGATCGCTGCTTCTGTACAAGCTAAGGTGTATAGGGGTAACTGGAACTGCTTATAATTGGTTTAAAAATTACCTTTCTAATCGTTCCCAAATAGTCTCCATTTTAGGAAAGAGTAGTACACAACAAAACATTGACTATGGAGTAATTCAAGGATCAAATTTGGGACCTCTTTTATTCTTAATATATATCAATAACCTTGGTAAAATTAATCTGGAAGCTGGCCAGATCTTCCTGTATGCCGACGACACCGCTCTTCTGTTTGAGGGCGATAGCTGGGAGGAGGTGTATCAAGGTGCGGAGCGGGGCTTACTCACCGTCAAGCGATGGTTCGATCAAAATAAACTCACTGTAAATATATCTAAAACTAAGTATATGCCAATCTCCCTCAGAGCTGACTACGACCCTAGAAACCTAGAATTAAAACTACATAGTTGTAGCGCTGGCAATGTGTGTGACAAGTGTGAAAGTATTGAATGTGTCAGTGAATTTAAATATTTAGGTGTGATATTTGATCGACGTTTAAAATGGTCTGGCCATATTAATCAAATCAGGGTCAAGCTACGTAAATTTATCTTTGTTTTTGCAAACCTATCAAATATTTTACCAATTAATTTGTTAAAGAATGTCTACTATGCTTATGTACAATCTGTTTTGCAATATGGAAATCTGGCCTGGGGTGGAGGATACAAAAGTATACTTGCACCAATAGAAATTATTCAAAAAAGAATAATCAAGATTGCACTCCACAAACCTATTCGATATCCCTCTGAAACAGTTTTTGATGAGTTCAAAGTACTTAATATTTCCCAGCTATATACTAGATCTTTAATAATATATATTTTTAAGAATAAACAATATATTTTTTGCCAACCAACTCACAACTATCCAACTAGATTTTCAGTTAATATTGGTATCCAATTGCCAAAAGTGAATAAATCGATAAATAAAACTTCTCCACAATACATTGCAAAAATAATGTTCTCAAAGTTACCTAATAGTTTAAAGTATCCCGAACCTTGCAGTTTGCAAACATATAAAAATCAAGTAGACAAATGGTTAGTGGAAACAGGCCGTGGCCAGATTGATTGTTATCTTGTGTCATTGTATTCGTAGTTTGCGTGTGCGTGTGCGTGTGTCGTCGATGATGTGCCTGTCTGTGTGAGTGGGAGAGTGAGTGAGTGAGAGAGTTGCATGAGAGAGAGAGGGAGAGAGAGAGTCGGCTCGCCGCTGGCCCACAGCCCCACAGGGACAGAGCAGTGACGGCCCTTTAGGGCTACCAGCCGCCTGTACAGGGCCTGTGGTAGTGAGTCGTTGCATGCGTTTTGTTTGTGTGTGAGTGTGTGTTGTTTGTGCGTGAGTGGGGGTAGAAGTTGTATGAATGGTTTCCAAGTACCAGTGTTTTTCACAGTATTATTAAATACAGTACCCTTAAATACCCTTTTTTTCTAGTTTTTTTATCATTTATTTATTATTATTAGATTTGTCTCTATCTTTACTCTTTTCAGATATTTCCATAATACTTTCGTTATCTGCTGTGGCTTCCTGGTAAAAATTTTTTTTTTCCTTTTTGGTAAAAATGTGTTATTAGTAGTTAGAGTAACAATTATTATTAAAACAATGTTAGATTATAATATGGATAGTCTGATAATAACTCGTTCCCCACGCACAGGTTTCGCCTATGTGGGGAAATTCCATTAATATTAAGAATACTGTTTTGTAATTTTTTGTTTATCATGGAATAAATGATGTTTGATTTGATTTTGATTTGACTCTTTAGATGAATTAAAAATGGCTATGGCTATATCTTAGTTTTAATTTATTTGACGCTATTCAGGTACAACTATGTATACCTAACCGATGAAAAAATATTCTTGACTATGACTATGAATATACTGATAACTCACAAGATGGTAAATGGTGAACGATTTCTATTGGATACTACAATCATCTTCAGAGCCCTATTTGCCTGTTGGGTATTAATTATATAGAGGGGAGCGAGCTGGTCCAGTGGTTGGAGCGTGGGACTTTGGTCTTGGGTTCAAATCCTGCCAAATAACCAATAGATTTTATCGAAGTAATAATGCCCCAACACCTAGGTCTAGTCTGAATTAATGTGAAAAAAATCTGGGCTGGTGCCTAGCGTCCTAGGACAAAAAAAATTAATTATTTAGAAACTCCCACCTGTATGCCTGAATGGTGTACCACTTATTACCGCTGAGGAGATTGCTGTCTTTTGTGGCCATACCATTATTGTACTTTATTTTCTCCTTAATTTCAAAGCTGAATTTGTTTTGGAAAGGGATTCCAACCTGGAAAAAAGTTACAACTTAAATGATTCCTGTCAAACTATGAAGTACTCAGTAATGTAACAGACTTAGACAACCATGGTATGATGTTGTGATATTTAGATTTCAGGGCCACCACTTAATTTTATTAGTATTATTATTAGCTTGAAATCGCCATACCTTTAAAATAATATGCTGTTCAACATATGATGTTACTAGAATTTTTCAAGTATTGACTATAGAAGCCTAACTACCTATTGAAAAAATCTTTTAATAATTTTTTTTATGTTAAAATAATATTGTATACAAAAGTAAAGCTTAAACTACAATGAATGTAAAGTTTTCATCAGAGTAGAGATATCTGTAGGCTATTTAAAAGAAAAATATAGGGCGTTCAAAATAGTACAACATTTTCTACGTAAGGAGCCGCAATTCTAAACCAATAAAAATAGTCAAATTCTGATTCTCCCAAAGTTTTTGTATTAAAATTACTTGAAAATTATGTATAATAAGGCATATGTTTGTATTTGACAATTGTGATATTTCAGCCAGTGAACTTCTGGTTATGGTACATTCTGTATTTAAAAATTTGTTTATAGTTTTTTTGGGCCTTGGGGGTTTGGTTTTGTAGGAAGTTTTTATTTCATCACTGTATGACCAACAGTTTGCCTGAAATCAATAGTAGACACATTTCGAGATTCACATTGTATACAAATTTTAACAATTGGTGTTTTTGACCTCTGGGACATCAAAATGGAATAGGAAATCGGACCTGAGACTATGTCTTAACCACTTACGGTAGCTTCTCCCCTATAGGGGAAATTCGCTAATAAAAACGTCAATTGTGCAGTACAGAAAATCGCTAGGAAATTGACAAGAAGAGTTTCCCTTCCTTTATTTAGCCCAAGTTTTCCATTTTAGACTTTTTAAGGTCCAGATATAAGAAAATTTCCTGTATTTAGAGATTGACAGCACTTGACTAGTTCATGCATATGAAATAAAAGACCTATTTGTACAAATCCATCACTAAAGACTAAAAGTGTTCAAAATGGACACAAATTGTGTTCAAACTTGGATCACATTTTCAAAATCTGGCTTTTCCACATATTACTCACAGCTATGACAACTCGGGCGCTCTCATCACTAAAGTCCACCCCTTCAGCAATCTTTCCCCGATATACTCCGAACAAGATTGCTCCTTTTGCCTGGTTCTGACGGGACTCATCGATTGTGTAATTGAAATCATCCATGACCGCGTTCATTTGGTCTCGCTCCTTCGGTTCAAAGAATATTTCTTTCACAGTTTCAAGCTCATCTAGTATTCCATTGCTTGTCCACCTGGAAACCAATAGAATTGCAGTGTACATTAAATTTGTGGTTAAATGGAAATAAAACTTTATAACTTACATAGGGATGAAATATATGTAAATTACCTTTCACGGAGTTTGGACAGTAATACGTAAGACGGGACAAAGCACAAAACTCCATGAGGGACAATCTTGGAAGTTTCAAGGACGATCCTACCAATTTCATCTTGATAGTAATACTCATGGATTACGTTGTATGTACCCTGGACAACACATCCTTTTGGTCCGTTAGAAATTGTAGACACATACAGCTGGAAAAATAATAATACCATAAATAATTAGTTAAAGATTGTTAACCAACGAAATTGTTAGATTAATATTGCATTGCGATTGGGTTGGAATGAAGAAAATAGAACGCAATAAAACACATAAAAGGGTTGCCTATCATAGCCTTGTCTGACCTCATAAGGTATAGAGAAGGAGGTGGCCAGAAAGGACAAGTCAATGAGGTGGCCAAGATAAGACTAGTCAATGAGGTGGCCAAGATAGGACAAGTCAATGTGGTGGCCAAGATAGGACAATTCAATGTGGTGGCCAAGATAGGACAAGTCAATGAGGTGGCCAAGATAGGACAAGTCAATGAGGTGGCCATGATAGGACAAGTTAATGAGGTGGCCAAGATAAGACTAGTCAATGAGGTGACCAAGATAGGACAAGTCAATGTGGTGGCCAAGATAGGACAAGTCAATGTGGTGGCCAAGATAGGACAAGTCAATGAGGTGGCCAAGATAGGACAAGCCAATGAGGTGGCGATAGGACAAGTCAATGTGGTGGCCAAGATAGGACAAGTCAATGTGGTGGCCAAGATAGAACAAGTCAATGTGGTGGCCAAGATAGGACAAGTCAATGAGGTGGCCAAGATAGGACAAGTCAATGGGGAGGCCAAGATAGGACAAGTCAATGTGGTGGCCAAGATAGGACAAGTCAATGTGGTGGCCAAGATAGGACAAGTCAATGAGGTGGCCAAGATAGAACAAGTCAATGTGGTGGCCAAGATAGGACAAGTCAATGAGGTGGCCAAGATAGGACAAGTCAATGTGGTGGCCAAGATAGGACAAGTCAATGTGGTGGCCAAGATAGGACAAGTCAATGAGGTGGCCAAGATAGGACAAGTCAATGAGGTGGCCAAGATAGGACAAGTCAATGAGGTGGCCAAGATAGGACAAGTCAATGTGGTGGCCAAGATAGGACAAGTCAATGTGGTGGCCAAGATAGGACAAGTCAATGAGGTGGCCAAGATAGGACAAGTCAATGAGGTGGCCAAGATAGGACAAGTCAATGAGGTGGCCAAGATAGAACAAGTCAATGTGGTGGCCAAGATAGGACAAGTCAATGAGGTGGCCAAGATAGGACAAGTCAATGTGGTGGCCAAGATAGAACAAGTCAATGTGGTGGCCAAGATAGGACAAGTCAATGAGGTGGCCAAGATAGAACAAGTCAATGTGGTGGCCAAGATAGGACAAGTCAATGAGGTGGCCAAGATAGTAAAAGTCAATGAGGTGGCCAAGATAGGACAAATCAATGTGGTGGCCAAGATAGGACAAGTCAATGTGGTGGCCAAGATAGGACAAGCCAATGTGTTGGCCAAGATAGGACAAGTCAATGTGGTGGCCGAGATAGGACAAGTCAATGAGGTGGCCAAGATAGTAAAAGTCAATGAGGTGGCCAAGATAGGACAAATCAATGTGGTGGCCAAGATAGGACAAGTCAATGTGGTGGCCAAGATAGGACAAGTCAATGTGGTGGCTTAGATAGGACAAGTCAATGTGGTGGCCGAGATAGGACAAGTCAATGTGGTGGCCAAGATAGGACTAGTCAATGAGGTGGCCAAGATTGAACTAGTCATTAGTCAATGAGGTGGCCAAGATAGAACTAGTCAATGAATTGGCCAAGATTTGACATTAAAGTATTTATTCACTCATAAAAACTTATTGGCGATATTGACATTAAATTTCATGATGGAGAAATAACTTTTTCCTACAGTTACCTAACAATGTACATGTTCTCTCACTGATTTGAGAAAGCAAAGTGGCCAATTCGCTCACCAGTGAGACAATGTTAACATTGTCTCACTCTAATTACTTTGTCTCACTCCAGATTTGCAACGTGAAGGCACGAAATAGTGAGCGCGTAACATGCAGGCAACGTCGTATGCGCGCGAAATACGTTGGTAGCACTGGCTGTTACCAGCTGGTCAGCTGTTGTACTGTTTTATTTGTCACTTCACATTAAATGTTATATTAAAAGTTCACTTCTGTGTAAAAATAGGTTATGTTTCTTCACAAATGTTTTTGTTTTATGGTAACTGTAGGAAAAGTCTAATGTGCAACTCGAGTTCAAAGTACAATTGCCTCACTCGAGAAACCATTCCTCACTCGCCTACGGCTCGTGAGTAAGGATTTCTCTCGAGTGAGTCAATTGCTCACTTTTCTCACTAGTTGCACAAATAACTATTTCCTACAGTTACCTAACAATGTACATGTTCTCTCACTGATTTGAGAAAGCAAAGTGGCCAATTCGCTCACCAGTGAGACAATGTTAACATTGTCTCACTCTAATTACTTTGTCTCACTCCAGATTTGCAACGTGAAGGCACGAAAAAGTGAGCGCGTAACATGCAGGCAACGTCGTATGCGCGCGAAATACGTTGGCAGCACTGGCTGTAAATCAGCTGGTCAGCTGTTGTACTGTTGTATTTGTCACTTCACATTAAATGTTATATTAAAAGTTCACTTCTGTGTAAAAATAGGTTATGTTTGTTCATGTTTCTTCACAAATGTTTTTGTTTTATGGTAACTGTAGGAAAAGTATAATGTGCAACTCGAGTTCAAAGAACAATTGCCTCACTCGAGAAACCATTCCTCACTCGCCTACGGCTCGTGAGTAAGGATTTCTCTCGAGTGAGTCAATTGCTCACTTTTCTCACTAGTTGCACAAATAACTATTTACCACACTAGGAAAATTCAGCCTTTTTTATACGTAATTTGATGACCAAAAAAGAAGAGTCATGCATTTCTCCAGTTGTTATTTTACTTGTAACATTCTAACGAAATAAATCAGTACATTGATGTTAAATTGCTTATCTATTTAGTTTGATAATAATCCAAGATAGGTTATATCCCTTTTAAATCTTGAAAGAATTGAAAAGTGTTTTTTTTTTACAAACATAAAATATTCTATACATACATAGCACCAAATTAAACTTTTAAAATAATGGCTAGTATTAATTGTCAATCGGCACTAACTTTACTTATTTTAACAGATGAAATCCATCATAATAAATATATATTTATTAATTAAACAGGAAAAATTTTTTTTTGCTAAGTCATGTAAGGATGGTAAATAAATAAAAAATATGTCCTATAAAATATAGCTATGCATAACAAAAATTAATGTATTGAAATAATAAAAATGCCTATGCCTAAAAAAGGTCAATGTTTTAAGTAGATACCCTATAATATAAATTTTGGAAATTAAAATTCTTTAATAAATATCTCATACACTGCCAGGCTTTCTTATCATTGGCCTAATGTACCAATATATTCTCCTTTATTCATTTTATGATTTAGTTTATATTTTATATTGTAGTAAAAACATTAATCACACAGCAAGCAAAATTCATGCACTTTTAATTTTCCTAGTTCTTGTCTACATCTCCAAATACTTACGTTTTCTGGTGGGACGACATGCTTTCCTCTGACAATATGTTTGAACTCGACTCCAAGTTCTGTGATAAATGAATCCAAAGGTGAGAGCGTCCCTGAGGCCAAGATGATTGTACGAGCCGATGACAGCTCCTTGAACACCAACGAGGGGTCCAAACACACAACTCGTAAACCTTAAACAAAACTTACTGTAGATTGTTAAGGAAGGTTCAGTTCTAATTTTGGATATTCTGGACCCTGCTGTGTTTTCCATTCATGGGAAATACAATTCAACTCCCAAACTGGAAAAGAATAATGAACTGTAACTTTTATCATAAATATTTAAAAATATAAATATCTCATGAGTTAGACCGTTAGACTCTTTTATTTTGATATGGTAGCTATATAATTCGTAAACACAAAACAATTTATAATTCAATATTTTATATACCCATGTTTTGCAACAGTTATAACAATTGTACAAAGTTTATACAATTCATAGATTCGTTCGTTGTATGTTTATTGTTTGGTATCATTCATATTTGTTCATATAATTTGTTCAGTTTAACTATATTGTTACATTTTGAGCTTGGTAGTTATTTACTTATTTTATCAATTCTATATTTTAATGTTGAACCTAGTTTAAAAGTATAATTTTGATATGTGATCATGCATTAGCTTTAAATTACTTTGGTAAAGAAAAATGTTATGTGCAAATAAAGAAAAGTCCCTCGCGTCGTGTCACACACAACCTAACCTCGTTTTTGTAAAATTATAGATTAAGCCATTTCAACCAGTTGTTTGAATACTCAATGAACATTGAGGTACAATGTTAAAATTATCATTAAGTCAATTGTTTTTATATTAGACATGAATCTAAAGCAGTGTATAGACCGGGACAGTAGTAGAGACGGCAAGTTGCTGGCTGCAAGAACTTGCCAGTTGCACTTACTGCATACTTTCCTTGTGTACAGGGGTACTTTCCTTTCCAGCGGCTAGTATTTACTGGCAGCAAGAAAACTCAAACCTGTTTGATTTTACTGGCCTGGTCGCGGCAAGTAGTGGGTCACGTGGGTGGTCACATGACCACAGGCGGCCAGAACTTTCCTGTCAAAACGTGTACTTGCCATCTACCTGCTGCCAGTAGAGCAGAGTGGCAAGAGAAATCAGAGTTGATCGTATTCATAGAAGTGACAGTGGGTTTGTTTAAAATGTCGGACAAGGGCCCTGCTGAGAAGAAAAAATCATTAAGTGGAGCTGTGTTGACATTGACATCACTAGGTTTTTAGAGATTTTTCAAAATTACGAACTATTGTGGAACATACATCATATTAACTATGCTGACAAAACTCTTCATGACAATCAGACATGCTCAACACAAATTAAATGCAAGTATCGACACCATTCACTCACTACTAAAAGCAGACTGGCTGCAAGTTCTTTCTTTGTCACTTGCCGATAGTACTTACCCGGTGTATAGGAAAACATATGGCAAGTGACATAATGGACAGTACTTGCAGCCAGCAAATTTCTGTCCCTACCGTCCCCGTCTATATGCTGCTTTAGACAATTTTGGTTTATTATGTTTCAAAACAAATTTAGTAAATCAATTAAAAATTCATATAGTTCTCAGGTTTGCTTCATGGGGGTATTTCTTATCTTATATTTAGCACTATGTAATAAATTTCATAATCAGTACTGACCATATTTCCACTCTCGTTCTCCTGAAGATGAGTTTCTTCGGTGTTTAGAGAACCAATTGTCCTGTAAAACAATAATTTGGGCATTGATTAATTTGAAAACAGATTAGAATTTCAAAACAATAGGCCTACTATTTAAGTACAAGGTGAGGCAATGAGTACTATAAAATTTATAAATAACACAGAATCTATAATTTTCACATTACTACAGGTTTAAAAAACACATCAAAGCACATGTAATCTTATTACCATTTTTTTCTGGATAAGCCATTATTTCATATCTTGAAAACAACTTCCTTCAAGCCTTCAAGTGACATCTTTGAAAATGTCAACATTCTTCGAGTCATTTGAAAAAACTGTTGAATACGCTTTCAAGCATTTCTTAAAGAGATCACTAGAACCTCTTCGGCGATTCTGTGCCTGAGTTCAAGACGGCATCTTATATCTTGTAGGGGAAGAAATTGAGATATTGATGCAAGATCCTTCCAAGAGATCTCATAGAAATTCAAAGTGCTAAGGACTGCTTCCTGGCGGACCTCTTTGGACTGAGTGACTGCGGCTCATACTCTCTCCACATTGGCTGGTGTGCTAACAGTTTTATGGCTTCCACCAATCTTTTTTGTGTTGGCGCCGTTCTTCTAAATAATGATACCCTGTTCCCTATAGTTGACTGACTCAGAACAGCCCCGCTTCGATCAAAATTGAAAAGCTTCCTAAACAATATAAGTGTTTTTAAAAGAATCATCATAAAAAAAATAAAAATGTGTTCACACCAAAAGCACGATGTTCAGGATTTCAAAACGCCATGTTTACTAAAATTCTATCGTTCAATTTTGTTTATGAGCAAAGCTTTTCACTCATTGTTGCAATATTAATCATCATGATTCTTGATTTGGTAGCAAAAATAAATTGTATAGTTCTCATTGCCCCATCCTGTGCAATTTAAATTGCAAACAGTGTAATAGCTAAAGAAGTTATCTCACACAACCCAACTTTTGAGCACTGTTCTGAGTTTACTCTACACTGTTCAACCTGTTTGTCTAAGTTATGGTTAAATTATTTTCACGATTGGGAATAAAATCATGTATTTTAAGTTATAATCAAAAATACTTTTTAACAAGTAATTTCAGAACTATTGTTCCCACATCAAAAACCAGATAATCATTAATCCAAACCATGGTGAATATGAAAATGGTACATCAGCACCATACACAACGGCTTCTTCAAATATGGTAGGAATTTTAAATATGCTCAAATAAATATAACTGCTATATTAACTGCATCACAAATAAATATATTTTTTAAAGATTACTCGTATATCATATGTTTTGTGGTGCTAAACCTCCAAAGTAATTTAGTCCAGTGCAATTAGGTTATGACCCAGACAAAATTGATAACAGGCTGAAAATTGGTGGAAATGTTCAAAACAATGTCCTAAGTGGCCCACACAAAGTCCCAAGAAATCCCAGTTGGGGAACGGCCGCCATCTTGAAAAAACTTCCGCCATCTTGGAAATTTAGATTTCTTGCTATATCTTTTGAAGTAAATGTCCGAAAGACCTTATTTATGTCTCAAATTAAACGTTTTGGACTTATGTATGAGGATAATATATAATTAAAGAGTTTATTATGTTCTAAGCATTCATTTTATTTATATTAACCTAAAAAATATCTATAATAATGATATAGATACGGTTATGTCCCCCCTTTTATACGAATTGTGGATATTTATAGTCATGCACGGTGGATGCGATGCTCCCTGGTGTGGATTAACGTCCGCACTAGTGAGTACTACGACTATCCGCAGTACTATCCTAATAATTAGACCAATTCGTTAATTACAAGGAAAAAATGTGGTTCGGATTCCACTATAAACTGTAGGTCCCTTAATTGCCATTTGCTGTATGGGATATTAATTAACATCTGTGTCTAAGGAACATGTCGGCCTTAGTCACTAACAAGACCACAAGATCGCGCCACTCATCCTACTCATCCTTCACTCATGTTTGGGTAAAATACGCTCATAGGGGCGTTTCCATCTTAAATAATTAATATAAATATACAAAATAAGCTTTTTCTATTTTTTTCGTAATGGACTTGTTTAAGCCATTAACCCTATTGCAATTTCTTGCACCCCACAATGCTTAGTCTTTGGAATTGGTTAAATATAAATATAATATCCAATTAACGATGATAAAGCTTTAAAGAGGAGACAACTAATATAGCTCATGCAATAGGTAATATTGCTGCAGCTATAGACCACGATTTTCATATTGCCCCTGCTGCTCGAGCTTCACAGACGGTATGGCTCGAAGTTGCCGTTAGACATTCTATCGTAGCTCGGAGTTTGCTCGACATACAAGAAGGTCGTCAATTATGAGACTTCGATAGCTGATAATGTCTTACCTTCAATAAATTACGGAACTTACGTTCAGTATGTTTTCAACAACGCGGATTACAACTTTAAAACACTTGATGGACATGGAACTCTTCACGCCATTGGTGGCATTGAGTGGATATCACCAGTCGAAATGTGTCAATGCAAATGCTCCTGTACCACGATCTACAATCCCAAAAGCAAAAAGTGTCCTTCTATCTCATGGCTTTCAGCCATTGACACCTTACCAACGTCTGCCTAAGCCTGGGACATCTTTCGTAGTGTTGGGAGTTGTCAGTATATCCCTTTCCAAACCAAAAATAGTTGTAGATGCTTGTCTTGCTGACACCCTATGGCTCATTAACTACCAACTGAGTAACAAACCAAGTCCAGGTTGGAATGGATTCATGGAAACAGTACAACAACCCTTATGGTCTTAATTGCACCACGATGCATGGATGTATTGATGCATGGAGGGTTTGCTATTTCATCTTTAACCAAAATGGCAGCCCGTCAAACATTATGGAAAATCAGTAGTAATATTGGTTCGTAATTGTAATGGCTACCATTTTGGACAGAGGAGAATACTCAAAGATTTTAAAATCATAAAATGAAACTTCCTGCTAAGGTTGCATGACCACCAAAAGGATTACTCTGTAATATTTACTTAGGAACAAATTAGAGGGAGGGAAATTAATTTTTATTGCACAAGAAAATTAATGTAATAGTAATGTCATAGTCATTAAACTTTTGACGGGCTACCATTTTAGATAGAGAAGAGATAGCAAATTCTGGTTTTCACCATTCTTTAAGTTTTTGTAAACACTTCAAGATGAGGTGTCACTTGAATAGGATTCACTTTAATATTTTTGAGTTACCTCCGAAATTCCCCCTTTTGAGGGACACTCAAAAATTTCAAAATTATTAAATGAAACTTCCTACTAAGATTGCAAGACCACCAAAAGGATATTTCTGTATATTTAATAAGAAAAATATTAGAGGGGGTGGTCTTGACTTGTTATTCTCCCCGTATTTAACCAATTCCAAAGACTAAGCATAGTAGGTTGCAAGAAATTTCGAAAGGGTTAATGGCTTTAAGAAGTCTATTAAGAACAAAAGAGAAAAAGCTTTAATTTGTAAATTTATATAATTATTATAGATATATTTTTAGGCTAATAATATAAATAATATTTATGCTTAGAACGTATTAAACTCTTTAATTATATATTACCCTCATACATGAGTTCAAAACGCTTAATTTGGGACATAAATAATGTCTTTGGGACAATTACTTCAAAAGATACTGCAAAAAATCTAAATTTCCAAGATGGCGGAAGTTTTTTCAAGATGGCGGCCGTTCCCCAACTGGGATTTCTTGGGACTTTGTGTGGGCCACTCAGGACATTGTTATGAACGTTTCCACCAATTTTCAGCCTGTTATCAATTTTGTCCGGGTCAAGGTCATTTTTTGTCTAATTGCACTGGACTAATTATGATTTGTTTATTTTACAAAACTAATACAAGTCTTTGTCTGCCTATTGGTATGAGTTTAATTTCTCAGGTTTATTTTTAAATGTGAATTCGCAGCGAAAGCAAACTACACGTTTCTACAACTGGGAAAGTGAATACTAATTAGTAATTCTGAAAAAAAACATAAATTTTAAACAACGTCTAAAACTACTTACCGGTAGTGTTTGCTTGAAGCCTACTTCCCTAACAAAGCAGGCTTGAAATTTCATCTTGTTTTCTGGCATGTAAAGATGCTTGAAGCAGCATTTTATCTCGGAACAAACTGTTTTGACTGTCCCACCCAGAGCTGCATTGGCCTCAGGATCTTCTGACTTTGCTTGTTCTATTCTATTCACATTTTCCTAAAAAATATTTTTTTAAACAGTCAAATATAAGAATTTTAAGCCTGCCTTTTGATTTAAAATTTAAAATTTTAGACCATGAGTCTTTTACTGGAATAATTATAAATATTTTGGAAATCTCTGTCTTGGCTAAAATTTAATACAGTAGTGGTATAACAAGCTTACAAAGAAAATTCACCACCCCATTAAAAACCGTACAAAAACAAGCTATGGACAAAGTTAAAAAGTTTTGAAATTGATTTACAACAGACAGATTATACTTTAGGATCAAAACTTAAACTATTCATAACAATTGTTCAAGACATTGCATCTTGATTCTGGATCAAATAGTTTTGGTAAATGAAATCTGTTTACCGTGATGACAAAATTAATGTCTACAACTTTAATTTTAGTTGTCCTGTCCACTACCTACTACTACTACTATTAGGTATCAACATCAATTTTGACAATCTGTTTTCGACACCATATGTCCAAGAATTGTTTGTATCGAGAATCCAAACATCCATATTACCTTTTATTTGTGTTAAAATCAACTAATATTACTAACTTGAGGTTTGGCTTTAATTTATAAGATTAAGTACTAAAACACAATTCTTAGTATACTTACCAACATTACGTTATAGGCATCCAACGTTATGCCTGCATCATGCAGCCTTTCTATAAAAGCAAACCCAGGCCAAGTAACATCTGATCCATCGTTATTGTAATTACACTTTGGTCCTTCAGAAGCTATGAAGTGTTCTAGTTTAACTAGATAATCCTCCTGCATAAACACTGTTAAACTGAGATCAAGTAAAATGGTTCCTCCTGAGCTAAGTAGCTTAGTAAACCATGCAGTAAACAATTTAAATTGATTAAAGCAACATAATTACAATTAAAAGTATTAAGAATACCAAACACTATTTGGGTATTACACGATTCCACTACTGATGGGGACAGTGGAGTTTCATTAAATTTGTCTGAAGAAAATCCATGCGGTGTTTATAAATAAGAAATATAAAATGGTTTATGTTGCCTTTTTGGGTCAAACGATCTGTGTTGTAGTTGGCATCAACTACAGCTGTTTCATGCCGCTGGGGCAGATCTTCAGGTTGTCAGAACGTTAGATAAAAAGCACTTTCATCCGTGGATGAATTTCTCAAGATATATAATACCTACTATACACGAAAAACAAGATTTAAATGACACAAATTTACAAACCTTTCCAAGTGACGAACACATGAGACTTGAGTCATGACACAGCATCCACCGGCGCCTGTCTCGTGTGTGTCACTTGGAATGGTTTGTAAATTTGTGTCATTTAATTTTTTTTTTTCGTGTATAATAGACATTATACATCTTGACAAATTCATCTACGGGTGAAAGCGCTTTTCATCTAACGTTCCACAACCTAAAGATGTGCCACAGCGGCATGAAACAGCTGTAGTTGATGCTAACTACAACATGGATCGTATGACGCAAAGGGTAACATAAACCATTTTATATTGCAATTTACGATCCAGAGGCTTACCCACCATGGAATTAAAAATGACTTACAGCTGTTACAGAGTTGTATAGAACCATTGTGTGGTTACTATGGTGGAACATAGCTGCAGTGTTTTGCATAAAAGTTGCAGAGAATCACAAAGGGTCAGATGTGACCACAATTGGTGGACACCACAATTGTACTCGACTGAGTAAAAGAGGCGTAAGGGGGTCAAAAACTTGCCTCTTGCAAACACTCAGAACAAATTCTAGTTTTGAAAATTATTTAGGAAAGAAAGATAACACTATCTGCCAAATAATAATGTTAATTAATTGGAGAATGAGAAAAAAATAAATAAGAAAACCCAATATCTGAGCACCTGAAAGATTGGGCGGTAAGGGGTGACAAGAAGCAGTGACAGCTTCAGGCCACAGAGAAAGAAACAGATATCTAGTTTTTGTGGTACATAACAACTGAACATGAACTATTTACAGAAATATCAGTAAATGACAACTTACAATGGCTCTATATTCTTCTGGCATGTGATGCTTTTGCTGTTCTCTACACTCCTTGATTGCAGCAGCAACGCTGTCTGATTTGAGCGATAAACTTGCCGTATCTCGACAGATATCTTCAATGTTGTGGGCCTCATCCAAAATGACGATTGAGCCTTGAAGATTTATGTTCATCTACAAGGACATATTTCATCCAGTTAATAGCTTTATTTTAGCCCTATATGTTCTAAAGGGATAGGTCATGTTGGTCAGATGGCCATACTGATCTATTACAAACCAGCTCAGATAATTTCATATCTATTATCTCAGCTGTTTCGGTGGCCAGTGGTACTGCACAACCCAAACACTTTATTACTTGAAAGGCCAACAGCATGTGCCAAAAAGAACATGTTTACACAAAATGTTCATTTTTGAGTAAGAACTTCAAGCACTCATAATGTCTTTATATTATTTATTTTTATTTAATCACTGTACAATTTTTGTAATGCATTTTCAAAGAATAATTACAATTTAAACCCCACGAGGAGTTTGAAGTTTAATTTAAGATGTCCTGCTGTAACTTTGACTTGACTTATTTCCGTGAGTTCCTAGGTGGAACATAGGGCCTCGACAAAATCCCGCCACCCGTCTCGATCCTCAGCAAGTGCCTTGGCCTGTCTCCACGTCATCTGTCTTCTTGCTAGGTCTCTTTCTATGGTTCTTCTCCATGTTGATTTTGGTCTGCCCCGCTTTCTGTTTCCCTGCGGATTCCAGTCTAGTGCCTGTCTTGCTATACAGCTCTGCGGCCTTCTCAATGTATGGCCAATCTATCTCCACCTTCTTCTGGTGATAATCTTTTTGATTGGTTCTTGCTTAGTTATCATCCAAAGATCTTCGTTTCTTATTACATTAGGCCACCAGATTTTCAAAATGTACCGCAGGCACCTATTGACATATTACAGTAGACCCCCTCTTAACCGACCTCGTATTAACCGATAATCGGATTATCCGCCTTTGATCGTAAAATAATACAGTTTGTTTTAACCGACCTTGCTTTGAGAGCAGCTCGGTTTAACCGCCGCTTTCTAGGAATCTCGGCATTTCCGCTCCCACGCTGGGCAATGAGAACTGAACTATCTTATCGCTTATCTCCACAGGATATGACTAACAATAAGTTATTTTGTGATGATCACAAAAAATATAGCATAACCTATTGTCAGTTTGTCATCATCGTTCGTAGCTCGAGCACATCTGATCTGATTTGTTATCTGTGCGGCAAATTTATAACATCATAAAGTGCGTTACGATTTTGAGAACTGATTATCTTATCGCTGGAGTAAACAAACAACGCAACTTGTAGGGAGGGCAGGGAAGGGGTGTTAACAACTACAAGGTCAAGATAGTTTTTGTGCCTCGAGCCTCCAGTGAGAGGCTATAAATAAACGTCCTATCTTGTAACAAAATGGTCGCTTGTATCTTTAATGACGACAAAAGGTTCTTTACTGTATTACGATGTATTTGGAAAGCATTAATTAATACATTACAGTAGTAAAGTTATTAAAATAGGAATTTTATTGACTCTTGCCTAGTATTATAATATATTCCACTGAAAGTAGGCCTATTTGACTTAACCGTGTTTTGTGTTTATTTGTGACATTTATATCAATATGAAAAAGGAGATATGAGTAGTTTATTTTATAAATAATGCAAGTATGACTTCAAAATAATGATTATATAATTCCAAATGAATAGCACTTTATTATGTTATGATTTTAGGGATTGCCCGTTTTATCCGACCTTTTGAATCATCCGACCTAGGTCCGGTCCCATTAGGGTCGGTTAAGAGGGGGTCTACTGTATTATGCTTGTAGGCTTTGCACTGCTGTGTTGTTAATCTTCCAGGTCTCACAGCCATATAGCAAGACAGACATGACATTGGAATTGAACAGTCTTAATTTTGTCTTTCGCAGAATCTGCCTTGATGTCCACACAGGGCAAACGCTCCCTTGGCCTTCCTAATTCTGCTTTTGATATCTAGGTCTGTTCCTCCATCCAGTCCTACCATGCTACCAAGGTAACAAAACTCAGTTACGCTCTCAATGTCTTTGTTATGTAGCTGCAAGACTTGATTGTTACGTGCATTTATACGCATTTCCATAGTCTTCCTTCCGTTTGTTTTAAGCCCAACATCTGAAGCTTCTACACGGAGATCATTTAGTTTCATTTCAATGTCACGGAAGCTTTCTGCAAGAAGAGATAAGTCGTCTGCAAAATCCAGTTCTTCTTGGCGGCCATGCAACCCCCACCTTATGCCTCGGTTTCTATTTGTTGCCTTCCGAAGCATGCAATCAAGCGTCATTATAAACAATGTTGGTGACAAGAGGCACCCCTGCTTTACTCCAGGCTCCACTGTTATTGGTTCTGAGAGGCTCCCAGCGTGTTCCACCTGGCAAATGTATCCATCATACATCTTTTGTGTGAGCCTTATGATTTTGTGAGGAATTCCAAAAGCTTCCATTGCAGCCCACATCTTCCTCCTACTGACCGAATCGAAGGCCTTTTCAAAGTCCACGAAAACTACATATAATGAAGCTTGATACTCTACAAACTGTTCAATGATTATTCTCAAAGTGTTGATGTGGTCTGTTGTCGATCGAGATTCCCTGAATCCTGCTTGTTCTTCACGAAGGACTTCTTCAACGGGTCTCCGAATTCTGTTGAGAATTATTCTTGAAAGAATTTTACTGCAGGTTGGCAACAGTGTGATTCCCCTCCAATTATTGCAGTCTGTCAGATCTCCTTTCTTTGGAGGGTTTATGAGTACTCCTTGATTCCATTCTTCTGGTATTGTTTCCCTTTCCCAGATATTCGTCCTGCTGTAAACTGCACATGGATCTCTAATTCAAAAATACTGGTAGATAAAGCCCAAAACAACTGTTGATTATTTTAAAATAAAGATGTTATGTATACAGTAGTAGATTTTAAGATGACTGCAATTAAAGCAACATAAAAACTAATGTTGCAGATCTATTTGAATATACATAGTCTTGAAAGTCCTACCATTAATTAACCCAAAAAATTGATTATTTGAATCGGTTTTGCCCTCTTTATTTTGTTTAATCTTGGATTTACTGTAATGTTTAAAAAATATTAAAATCTATTGTTTAAGCCTCAGAGGATAACAAGAGTTGGATAACAATCAGCAGTTAACTAATCTAAAAATTGTATCGGTATTAAAAACTCACCGACGATCTCATATCAGGATGTATCAGGTAATTGTAAGGACAAAAAACAATGTCCGAGGTCTTGACAATGTTCCGTAATGTGAAGTAAGGACACACTCTTCTTCTGGTGCCCACAGCAACTATATCCTCTATGTCAAACACTCTAGGAACTCCTAAATCTAAGATGCTTTTATGGTTCCCCATTTTAGTTGCTCCGTGGTAGTAAGTACATCCGATATTCTGAAATATATTTTCTAATCATTTACAGTATATAATAGACAAGATACTACAAGTTTTTGCATGTTTACATGTACATCACAAACAAAAATTGTGACACTATGACAGTTTGTTTGAGCAGGATATAAACTAGTTATAAAATAACAATCAGTAATAAAAATAATCAGTAACCTTTTTCCTTAAAAATATCTATGATTTGAACTTTCATGTGTTATATATTAAAGAAAATGCCTTATATTCCAGAAACCATCAATGGACGCGTTCTGGGACTCACCAGTACCGCCTCGGGGCAAGAGTCTTGGTATGCCAGAACAGTTAGTCACCGGTTTACAGTACACATCGGATTGCAATTTACACATCAACGTACCATTTACTTTATAATATTGAAATCAAACAAACTTACCCTCACAGAATAAATTAAATTAAAAATATTCACATGTTATGTAATATAACCCCATAAAAAGAATAGAATTTTCACTTATTACGTAATATAACCTATCAAACTGATAAACAATTGAACATTATTCTATGGACAGCTTTAGCTCTATTTCTTGCTGTAGCTGCATAGCTGTTCCAAAAAACTGACCAATCAGACGCCGCCGGTGCATTATGCACCGTACAATTTCTCCGGTGCATGAATCTTGCACCGGTGGAGGAAATAGATGTCTGCTAGGTTAACTCACCAGTTTCCCAGAACGGTGCTTTTTGTACACCAGTTAGTGTTCCCAGAACGCGCTCCATTGTTCACTAAGTAAGTAAACAATTGCTGTTCTATATCTTATGTTTTGACAAAATACATGATTTATTAAAAACCAATGTCACTTTTCCATTTTCTCTCATAATTTTAAGGTATGAAAACTAGTGATGTGTCAAAACCAAATCTCAAATCTCAAAACCATCAAAACTTTGGAAAAGTTTCGGTTTCGAGATTGGATCACCGAATTTTGAGATTGGATCACCGAGTTTCGAGATTCAAAAGTTTCAAAATTGTAGAATTTTGCAGTGTTTTTTGAAACTGCTGAAATTATTTTGTCATTATTATTGTTTTTAACACTGTTCCTCACAAGCTCGTAGCAATAGACAAACATCACCATTAACAGTAATGAAACAAATATTGTAGGCTAATCTGAACTTCAAAAGCTATCTTAAATACTATAACTAGAAAGATGTGCGATTCAGTTTCATATCAATATTTATTAAACCCAAAGAAATATTGACCGCTTTATGTTCTAATTAATCTAATATTCATATTCATGTTGGTGTTAGGAGTTTAATTTATTTTAATGTTGGTTGTTTATAAAAAATTATGTTTTTTTGTGTTTTAAGATTATCAGTTACATATTTATGTTATGTCAGGGTCGGGAGTCGATCTCTTTTAGTTTTGATTGCATACTTAAAATGTTATTATTACCTGTATTTCTTGTATCCTTGACCTTTGTAACCAGCTAAGTAAAAAAGTTTCGAGTTTAGGTTTTGAGATTCGGGATTCGATTTTAAAAGTTTCGGTTTCGGTTTTGAGATTCGAAATTTCTGGTTTTGACCATCACTAATGAAAACAATAATTGTCATTTTTTTAACAATTCTTTTACTGTAATGCTAAAGTTCCTTAATTTTCTCAACATCATGCAAGTTTGACAAAAATTTCCAAAAACTATCTTTCCTGATACAGTACACCAACCATAATGAACCTAATGATTTACGTAGTCAATTGATAAGTTTTAAAATTATTACTCACAAATGCAGGATCAATACATTCCCTGCAGAGGTCAGCGATTCGAGGTTTGCCCTTCACAGTAGGGTTTACACAAGTGAAGTCCCGTGATGCTAGAATTGCCATTCTGTTGAATATTCAATCCAATCATTATTATAATGACAAATTTTACAATGCTAGAAATCATGAACAGCCAAAAACAAATATGAATTGGTAAAAACAAAAAGTATTGTTAAAACTCCAAGGGGTCAAAGGGGATGGGTCAAAAAAGTTTAAGTGAGGGCGTCAATTTTTTTCCGAATCCATCATTTTACAGTATTAAAAAACTTTACATTTACCGCACTGCTCTTTTCTGAAGAAGATTTATCAGAGAAAAATATCCTATTTTGTTATTTAGGGAGGTGGATCTTCAGTTGAAAGTTTAATACAAACTAGCAAATGATGGCAAAATCACATAGCAAATAGCCATTTCAGATTGACAGGACAATGGCCTCCAAGACAAAACTTCAACATTCTGATCATTAAACCAGCTATGCTCAAAGGCTAATGTTTCTAAGCCAATACTAATAGTGCATGCTCTTTAAATAGGTTATTAGTGTAACATGTGTCATTTCTCGATACCATCGATTCTTGGACATTGGTATCGGTATCGAGAATCAATCTTCAAGAATCGATGCCGATACCGATACCTGAAACGTCTGCAAAGAGCGTGTGATCAAAAAGTTCATGTCTTCGCCGTGATCGCGAATGAGGACAATAATGTTTGTGTGACTGCAGGAGATGATTATAATTTTGACACTATCGTAGAAAACGAAGATAATATCTACACAAATGTGGGAGATGTGTATGATTAAGCCGCGATCGTGGAACACGATGATAATATCTACACAAATGTTGGAGATGTTTATGATTTTGCTCCGATTGTGGAAGACAATAATAATATCTACACAAATGTGGGAGATGTATATGATTTTGCCGCGATCATGGAAGACAATAATAATATCTACACAAATGTGGGAGATGTTTATGATTTTGCCGCGATCATGGAAGACAATAATAACATCTACACAAATGTGGGATATGTTTATGATTTTGCCGCGATCATGGAAGACAATAATAATATCTACACAAATGTGGGAGATGTTTATGATTTTGCTGCGATTATGGAAGACAATAATAATATCTACACAAATGTGGGAGATGTTTATGATTTTGCCGCGATCATGGAAGACAATAATAATATCTACACAAATGTGGGAGATGTTTATGATTTTGCCGCGATCATGGAAGACAATAATAATATCTACACAAATGTGGGAGATGTTTATGATTTTGCCGCGATCATGGAAGACAATAATAATATCTACACAAATGTGGGAGATGTTTATGATTTTGCCGCGATCATGGAAGACAATAATAATATCTACACAAATGTGGGAGATGTTTATGATTTTGCCGCGATCATGGAAGACAATAATAATATCTACACAAATGTGGGATATGTTTATGATTTTGCCGCGATCATGGAAGACAATAATAATATCTACACAAATGTGGGAGATGTTTATGATTTTGCTGCGATTATGGAAGACAATAATAATATCTACACAAATGTGGGAGATGTTTATGATTTTGCCGCGATCATGGAAGACAATAATAATATCTACACAAATGTGGGAGATGTTTATGATTTAGCCGCGATCGTGGAACACGATGATAATATCTACACAAATGTTGGAGATGTTTATGATTTTGCTCCGATTGTGGAAGACAATAATAATATCTACACAAATGTGGGAGATGTTTATGATTTTGCCGCGATCATGGAAGACAATAATAATATCTACACAAATGTGGGAGATGTTTATGATTTTGCCGCGATATTGGAAGACAATAATAATATCTACACAAATTTGGGAGATGTTTATGATTTTGCCGCGATCATGGAAGACAATAATAATATCTACACAAATGTGGGAGATGTTTATGATTTTGCCGCGATCGTGGAAGACAATAATAACATCTACACAAATGTGGGAGATGTTTATGATTTTGCTGCGATCATGGAAGACAATAATAATACCTACACAAATGTGGGAGATGTTTATGATTTTGCCGGGATCCTGCAAGATGGTCTCCTGTTTGCGAGTAATAATTGGTGTTTTGATATTAAAATTCTGTAAAATAAAAAATGGTATCAGTATCAAGAACTGATATTTCAGGTATCAGTATCTAAAATCAATAAATGTTGGTATCGACACTTATCTAAAGTTTAGATTGTACAGTAGAAAGTCGATCACAAACAACTGGTGATTGGGGTTGTTTGGTTAACTGATTCTTTCTTATAATCTGTCACTGACAGTAAAATGTAGACAATGATATCGGTCTATGACTATTGTAAACACGTCAAAGTGTTGAACTGTCAACTACAGGATATCAAAACTAAGCTTTACTTACCTTATCGCTTCACATTTCCATTTAAATTACTTTAAGACGTAATTTTACTCACCGGATATCTTTTGCATGGCTGGTTTTCTTTAACTGGTCAACAACTTGAGCAATTTGTTTGTGAGTTCTAGTTCCATAGTATATTATTGGAGGCCTGCAAAAATAACGGTCTTGTGTAAGCGATTAGTTACTAGTTCTTATATGGATCCGTCGATGGCGCTCGTGCCGAAATGTACATAATCCTGTAATCCACAAGGACAATACTTTGGACCACAAGGTGACAATCAGGTATTTTAACCTTTTATTTATTTGACAAAAAACAACTTAGGCCAGTAAAGGTGTAATCTTATAAATTTCTATAGCATTATCAAACGAAATATCTGAGCTCGTAAACTGATAATCAAATATGAAAATACTACATTACCAAAACTAATAAAATTATAACAATAATAGTGAACATACGTCGAAACATATAGTTAGGTACTTTAAATCTTAAAATAATTAATTAATTTGTTCATTCCATCAATTCGAGAAATACAACATTATGCGATCAATTACAACATAGGAATGTCCCTTTTGGTCATCAATAGTCACTATTCATCGTCTTTAGCTCCCATTAAGTGGTGCGCAAGGAGGCTACTCATTAACAGTTGAGAAGTTCTGCCAGTTAGCCAGTTCTGTCCTTAGAAGTAGAAGCTCACCAGACCAGGCCAGCTTTAGCAGGGGTTTGCAAATTCCGAGAGCAAACATGTTAGCTGGTTCCATGAATAGACTAACTTCGGATTTTTAGGGCACTTCACATGGGGCTTAACGAGTTCCAGGGTTAGAGAATTTGGAAAAGGAAGGTTTGAGTTGGAGGGGTACAGATGTCTTAGGGTTAAATTGTGGCCCTATTTAACTCAGGCCTGAACTATGACAAATGACAATTTATATATAGATTTTTTTGTAAAGGATTAAATTATTATAAAACTTGATAACTTACTTAAATTTTTTTGGTTCCTCATCAAATGGGTCGACCATATCTCCTTTTCTTTCATCTTTCATAGGATCCAGATTATTTTCTTGTAAAATTGAACCTTTTTCTTTAGGTAGTAAATTACTAGAGTTTAATTTTTTTGATAACTCATCTGATGTATCCATTTTCTGTAACTGATTTAGTTTTGAATATATAGATAAGATTTAAAAAAGCAGATGATTTTTTATAAATTCCTTTGTATAGTAACAATTACATATCCAAATATATTTACAGCTTTAATCAATTAGACAATTTAAGAAGTCTCATTGGCAGTTTTTTTTTTCAAAGCCTGTGTTGAATTTTACAACTGTAATTAGTAAATTACTAATATAGTTTTATGTTCTATCAGAAAATTAATTTCATTATGCCTTATAAAGGAGGATCTACAACTGTTATCTCATTTTGATGTTTCTAAATTCATGTGAATTTTTGTAAAATGTCATGAACCAAAACTAAATAGGTTTACTTTAATCTATTCTATGTTATTTAAGTGGAAGTTATCGAGCCAGTGAATTAATTTGAATAAAACAACTGAAGAGTGCAGCTCGTAAATAATACAACAAATTGTATCATGGTGATTATTATTCAAGAATATTTCTGTATACTAAAATATATGTTTCATTTAAAAATATAAATATACATCATTGATTTTTGCAATGAATCAAGAAAAACAATTTCAATTTCTTTGGGGTTTGAATTTTAATAATGGAAAATCAAAAATTTACAGAGCCACACATCCCAAAAATGTTTGCAATCCTTTCAAAAACATTTGACATAATATATAATATTTCACTATTAAAATGAAAATATGAGACCAATTGACAAATAAAATAATTAAAGATAACTCAGTTCTCAATTGCAATGGTTAATAGTGTTATTGTAAATATTTTATCGCTAAACATACTTTCGATCGCTTTTTGGGCTGGAAGATATCTTCGTCTGAATTGCAATCGGAACTATCCTGTTCCCCTGTAAATTATCACAAATTCAGGACCAATCCAGTATCACAATCACAACATCTGTTAAGGTTTTTTTTTTTAACAGGACACAATTTTACTCCGATGAAATTGTACAGATACTCTATACAACATTTATGTACTTTCAAAGTATTAACACAAACTTATCATAACTTGGCTTGATTACTTGCGATTTTTGTGTGTTCCCGTGGCCCGCCGTGTTTTGTGTCATTACTGTCATTGTGCTGCATTTAGTGCTTTCATTATTTGTTAGTTGTGTGAGTGTTTTTTTTTCTGAATTGTTTACCTTACGAGTGTTTTTTTAACGTGCTAGATATGAAATATAATAGTATAATTACGTTACTAGTCCTGAAAATAAGTGCTTACCGGACGAGTTTCGTAAACACATTTTGGACGAGTGACGTACGATAGTTTACGCCATACTAAATGAACAGGATCTGTACAAATCCTTATAGGCCTATATTACCACCAACTAAAGAACTAACAATCACTAGTCATAACCTCTAAGAGAGGTTATAGAGGTTATGTTTTTTTTTATAACCACTCATCTCCAAATTACAGTAAAATTAGCTGGTTGGTGTCCGGTAAAACTCATTACAGTACAGTAGTACGTAATGAAACCCCATTTGATTAAGCTGGCGGCATACATCTGTTTTCTGGACTAAATCCTTGTGTGGGAAGTTCGTCAAAATAGTGTAGTGTGGCATAAAAACACATTACACATTCATCAGTAGTAAATCAGCAGTGGAAGTCTAGAATGTTATGTGATAAACAAAAGTTTACAGCTAACCTTTTCCAGATTAATTTTATAATTAGGTTGCCTAAATTTAATGTGAGTTGTTGTGTGATTTATTGCAATGTTTTATTTTAACATATATAATACAACAATACTGTAGATTTATTTTCAGTTATTTCAATGTTCATTCATTGCACTGTTTGGTGTTTATTATGTTTCATAAACGTTGCCTATTCTGATATGATCTTTTTCCGTTGCAACCAGTATTATAATAGTCGTAAGGGGTTATATGAGTACTAATGTGTTTTGTACAGCAAAACCTTGACCTAATCTTGGTTAGTTACCAGTGAATTGATGAAAACAAGTTACCCTTAGCAATTTGAGTGCAAAAGCTGCAGGATCACAAGTCAAGCATGCTTCAAAGCAAACTGCAAAGAAATAAGAAAAATGTGTATAAAATATAAAATAATAGTTACCTTGTAGTTTTTCCTGCTTGTCACCCATCCTTCCTTCTTTATCTGCCACTGGGCTTGAATGACCTATCAAAAAATTAGACCAAAATCAGATAATTTCAATATTGATTATAAGAAATACTTTCTGTGAAAGATTTTGTTGTGATATCTCTATTTCATCCAGGGGCTGCCGGTCTAGCTGTCACAAGGCAGATGCGTCCTCAAGAAAAATGGTACCTGGCGCCCTCAAAACAAACAAAAAGACGTAGCGAGCCGTCCTTGGGCTCTAAGTGCAATATTTCCTCGTTACGTCCGCAAATCAAAATGGGTTTTAAAACTTTTATGGTGTCAGCAACTAGTTTTCCTCTTCGGAATCATTGCAATAGGCCCAATTTAATGACATTTATTATTTCGCTATAATGGTGCAATAGTGATGCGTAGTACACTACAGACTAGCGACTAGAACAGACTAGAACAGCGCCTCTTGCCGATAACGCAAAGTTTCTACTGATGAACACAATTCATGCTTTGTAGGACAATGCAAGCAAGCTTGGTTGCCGAGTCTGGCAAACTTCGTAATGATCGGTGGACGTTGATTAGTACTAATTTCATGTTCGTATTTTATTGCACTAGACAGAGCAAAGTGAGTAGCGAAGGGCAATTTTGATTGTAGTTCATATTTCCGTCACCGCTGGTATAAATGCTCTAAACGCTGAATTTATGCGTGCAGGCCCTGCGGTAAGCTTTGTGTGCAAAGTGCAGAGTTCAAAAGAATTGTACAGGTCGAAAGTCACTTACCGTTATATAGTTACTTATATATGTTAACCGAACTGTAATTTACAAAGAATGTAATAAAAGGATGTTGTTGTACATGTATATTGTAAGTTGTTGTTGTTGTTGTTGTATGTTGTATGTTGTATATTGTTGTTGTATGTTGTTGTTGTGTTTTGTGTGCATTGTATGTATATTGAATGTTATTTTTACATTGGGTGACCCACAATTCCCCCCCCCCCCTCATTTTCAGCTCTTCCCCTTGTTTTTGTCATTAACTCTTAGCAAATAGCAATAAAGAATCTTAAGAAAAATAATGCTGTACTACTTAGGACAAACAAATGAGGACATATTTAAGTAGGCATATAATATTAAAAATTAAAATTCAAACAAAAAGTTAGGACAGTTACACAAATTCACAGATTTGTTTTATCTTTGCAAATGTATAAATAGCCTAAAAAACGATTTAAGGGTAATACATTTTCAAAAATTTTCTGAAGGAGGGCCCCTGGATCAGACCCCTCCTGAGCGCCCTCCTTGTGATGCCAGTCCGCCCCTGATTTCATCACAGCGATTCGGTGTAAAAAGATTACAAAACTAAAAGCGTCGACAGGCCCTAGCCTTTATATATGTTTATAAACATTAAAAGTTGTTTGTATAATTTTGTACTAAACATCATTTTTTTTAATTTTTGGTACTCATAAAATCTACAAAAACCTATGCTTAGAAAAAAAACATATATATGCCTACCCATATTGTTAACCCCTTAATCGTGGCCTAAGATGGCGCATCATGATTTGGACACGATCAGTGGCGCGGGGTTTAATTACGCTCGCCAATGGCCCAGGGTGGGGTTTTTCGCTTTTTTTTGTGGTTTTTTTTACATTCTGAGGAAACCTAGTATAAAACTCATTTTAAAGCAATTAAATATGATAAATATTTTAATAAACATTGTAATAGTCTTCATGTTAGCGTAAATGATACTTTAATTTTTTAATTTTATAAATAATTAATAATAATAATCTAATATATAAATAACAAGATATTGCATTGACCATATTTATTTACGGGTTTTATTTTGTTGTCTGGTCAACTTAGTGGATGTTTCAAGAAGTAAATATTGAAATATAAATATATATACTATGTACAAAGGTTACTTTTTACTATTTTTAAAAATTCTTCAGAGTATGATACTCTTTGAAGCACGGTGCTACGCATGAGGAAACTACGCCGTTTCACGTCGTGAAATGAGACAATAGACAATAGACATGATGGCAAACATAGTATTGACGTGAGGGAAACTCTTTTTTCCATTGAAGGAAAACATGATGAAAAATGACACTGTTTCAATCTCAGTGGTATATGACCGGGGTAAGGACAACCACAAGTTTTATTTTACTTTTTGGATCTGAGCTGCAATATTTTCCTCTAAAATTTGGCGAACTATATAGCTCTAAATTAAATTCTGCCAGTGTTGGTTTCTTGCCACTTACACATAGATAACTTTCATGGGAATTGAGTATTGCCAGATCCACAAAATGTAAAAACGGTTTTTTATACCACTTTTGGGTGCGCCTAATAGACTACATTGCTGTAACAATCACGCCCGACAAGCCTAGGCTTTCTGTGTCATATATGTCGGTTTCTGTTATACACACACACACACATATAAATATATATATATATATATATTTATATTCATACAGACATAAATACATACATATATACAATGGTTTTGTTTTATCAACACGAAGAAGCGACGTTATCATCTCAACGCGACAAAAACATCTACCACGTGCAACCTTTTATACTGCAGAACACGTGGTATGGATGTAGTTCCAGAAAGATACACTTGAGTGCAGCACCAAATGGTCTGTCAATTCTCAGGGTCAATGTACCATGGAAAGAAATTAGCAGAAGAATTGTATCAACGAAATAAATCAGCTGAGAACGTCAAAACTGCCTAAGCTCGGGCGTCGCGGATAACACCACAAAGCTGTTGCACGTGATATTCCCGTGCGTCGCAATAACATGTACAGAATACTACCACGGAATAGCGTGTGTCGCGGTTAAGGGGTTAAGCGCATGGGAGTAACTTACTGGTTTCTTGAATTTTGAAATCACCATCTACAGCCTACACAGAGAAGTAAGGTACAGATAAAACTTGCTAATGGGACGACCGTGCACTATCAGCTCTAGTATCTTGTGCCGTGCGCGTACATACGTGCTAGGGGAAACCGAGCAAGAAAGAGCCCGAGCGGCGAGCACTGTGCATATGTTGCGATCGCATGGGGCACAGGGTCTTCCTCCAGCATTGTGTAGCATGTGATGGCGAGAGGGGTAAGGAGTGTGAGGGCCTGAGGGGGGTTAGGAGAAATTACTAGTGCTTGCGGCTAGTTCTAAACACCATTTAATTGCACCATTGAATGTTTCCTGCCCCTTACTTCCCTGTGTCATCCATCACAAATTATAATGTCTAACAAATAAATTACTATAATTTAAAAAAGTCTAATCCAATGAATCCAAAACACTGCTAGTATTTATACTTTTTATTAACCCCTATGCTTTTGAATATTACTTAAGCCTAAGAGAACTACCCAATTATAAATTCTCTACCCAGCTCATATCTCTATAATATGTAGGCTACAGTATTAGGAAAATACTGTATGATTAACATGATAACACTACAAACAAATAATTAAATTAAAAGGTCGAATGAACATCAACTCAAATCTAACATTGAAGCAATTCAGTTTTAAAACCTATAAACTATTTTCAAATGGAAAGTATAAGATACTGTAACAAATATAATACCTTTGGCTGACTGTTGATTTTCAGCAGATGATTTTTTCCCTTTGTCCTTCTCAGCTTGTTCTGTAAATGTAAATAAATATTATTACACAATGAAGTAGGTTTTGTAACAATTCATTTTCAGCTTGTTCTATTTATGAACATAAAAGGAAGTTATCCATCCAATAATGAATTAGATTTTGAAACAACAAAAGAAAAACCAATAATTTTCTTCCATTCAATTTAATTAATTAGTTAGGCTACCTTGATACCTTGATACCTTGAAGAAAGCAGCCGTTGACCAGTAGACTGGAATGGGCCTTGTCGTTAAAAAAACTCAAAAACGCACTCACATGCAAAAAAAATAAAAACTTTTACTTGGCTTGGCGAAGTGGCTGGTTTTGTTTCTTACTTTCCATGAATTCGAAAAATTCCTCCACAGAGTAAAATGCCTGTTCTATAAAAAGTTTCTTAATCCTGTTTTTGAAGATTGAGAGACTGCAGTTCTTGAGGTCTTCTGGCAGACTATTGAACATCTTAAAGGAGCTGTACCTGAAGGACTTAACATTCTTTGCCAGCCTAAATCTAGGGGGGTTTAGGCAGTCTTTTATCCTTGTGTTGTGCTCATGTACATCACTCCTTACCTCAAGCTCATGTTCACTCTCTTTGCACCACAACAGGCAAGCTGACATATAAAGACAGGGAACAGTCATCACTCCTAACCGTATAAACAGTGGCCTACAGTGTTCCTGCTGACTCCACACTCCTGAGATTGTTCTTATAGCCTCTTTTTGCCTAGCGAAAACTTCATCCCTTCTGGCTGCATGTCCCCATAGGAGGATCCCATAAGCAATTATGCTGTGGAAAAAGGCAAAATATGCATACATCACACAGTCAGGAGTTACGCTGTCTTGCAGTCGCCTTAACAAAAAAATTACTCTGTTGAGTCTCTTCAAAATTACTTCAACATGGTCCTTCCAATCTAACTTAGGGCCCAAGTGGAAACCCAATAATTTGGCCACATCTTGGTCTTCATTTTTCTTTAAAGAGAAAAACACACGTTGAGTCTTCACCTCGTTAAGAGCTAACCCGTTGGCCTGAAACCAGATCTTGGCTTCATTGTATGACAGCTCAGTCTGTTCCCTCGCAGAGCCAAAATCCGCTCCCTTGGACATGATGGTCGTGTCATCAGCATAGATAATGGTTCTGCCCGGGATGCAGCAATCAAGGTCATTTATCATGACCAAAAACAGCAACGGTCCCAGCATAGACCCCTGGGGGACGCCTATATTTACCCTCTCTAAACCAGACTCTCTGCCATCCGCCACTACCAGTTGCCTTCTATTCTTAAGGAAACTTTCCACCAACCTATTAGCCTGATGAGAAACCCCCAGACTTTCCATCTTCCTCAACACAAGTTGATGGCTGACACAGTCATATGCTTTCGACAGGTCACAAAAAACCGCTTCTACAACCTCATTATTGTCCATTGCGTCCATTACAAAGGTACAGAACTGGCATACTGCATCCACGGTTGATCTTCCACTTCTGTAAGCAAACTGTTGGCTACTTAGTAACCCCCCTGATTCAAGAAAACCAGTCAGCTGATGTACCATCACTGCCTCGAGTACCTTGGAAAGTATAGGCACCAGAGATATTGGCCTATAACTGGAGGGGGAATCTCGGGGACCCTTCTTGTACACAGGGACCACCCTGGCAAACTTCAAGACATCAGGAAAAATCCCCTCTGCCAGACATCTGTTGATAAGGCGAGTTAGCGGCGAGATTATATCGGGAAGTATTTCACGAATCAATCTATTTGAGAAACCGTAAAAATCTTTGCTAGGTGAGGCCTTAAAATTCATCACTAATTTTTCAACTAACTCATTACTGACCATGCTCCACTCGAAAAAAACCATTCCCCTGTTACTTTTATTGGCTGCTAAGATCATGGCCTGATCCATAGATGCCGAGCAGTGCTCGCTAATCTCCTTCACTGAGTCTATAAAATAACTATTTAAGATGTCAGGATCAATTTTACAAGCCAGGTTGGTTCCCTCTTTGCCACTCTCAATCCGAATGATTTCCCACGCTGCCTTGATCTGATTTGGGGCCTCCAGGATCCTTGAGGCACAAATTGCCTTCTTAGTTGCCGAGCATTCCAGTCGGTACCTCCTCTTCTCCTCCACATAGCGTGCCTTGTCAGCATCCCTATTTGTCGTTTTGTAAATACCATGTAACATTACCACACGCTCCCTCACCTGAGCCAAAGCTGGGGTAAACCATGGAATCCTCTTCATCGGTTTGGGCCTGAAAACTCTAGTAGGAAAACAGCACTCAAAGGTACACACCAGAAAGTTCAGAAAATTGGCAAAAACAACGTCTATATTACCTGAAACGTTGACTACGGCGTCCCACGATGTTTCACGGAGCCGAGCCCTAAAGTCCTCCATTCCTTTTCTAGAAATTGGTCTGCATACCTTGTTTGTGGCAGGTGGGGGGGCTGTAAAGTCAGAGCTCATATTTTTAATTTCTACCAATATACCACTGTGGTCGGATAAATGTGTTTCAAAAACATTCAGTTCTAGTTGATCTGGGAAAAAATTTGTAATAATATTATCTATACAGTTCTCACCTCTAGTGGGTTCGGAATTCATACAAAAGACGTTGTGTGACCTTAGCATATTAATAAAATCTCGCACATTATTAGAAGGTACTCTAATGTCTAGGTTCAGATCTGAGGCTATAACTATCCTTAACTTGTAGGTAGAAAGCATGTTTAAAATCTCACTCATATTAGCAGAGAATAATTCTAGGTTACCACTAGGTGTTCTGTAAGCTGATACTAAGATGATACCTTCATTTATCAACCTGACAGCAGCAACTTCACAGTGCTGTTCTATGCAAAACTTCTTTAAATCAATTTCAACAAAAATTATGTCCTTCTGTAAAAAAATACAAACACCTCCATAAGCCCTATCCCTACAGAAAGTAGCAGCAAGCGTAAAGTTAGGGATATAAAGTACTTCAGCCTCAGCATGAGTCAACCAATGTTCATTAACACACAATGCTTTGGCACTTTTTTGGGTTAAGATAACCTCCAGCATACTAACCTTATTACGGATGCTTTGTATATTCAGGTGTATGAAATTAAAAGTCTGCTTCCTCTCCACTAACCTCTTCCTCGTCTCTGGATTCCTGGATGTTATCCCAGTGGCTTTTTTCCCCGTGAAAAGAAAAAACGCCTCACAATCACATCCCTAGGCCAACACTCACTGTCCATCAACTTGTCGAGATTTTCAAAGTCGGTCCCAAGCTTGAAACTTTCACAATGTCCCTTTGAGTTGAGATTTTCCACTTCAAAATCAATGTCAGGAAAACTGGTAGACAGAAACTCTTTGATTTTATCCACTGAGGTATGTTTACGAATACGACCTAAGAAAAGCCAAGCACGCCTTTTGCCAACAAGTTCGTTGTTTTCATTCATGTCCTTGGAGCCAATAACAAAATTCCTCCGCGTTTGCTTTCCAGCCATGCTGCTTCTTGAGGAACGTCTACTTTTCCTTTCCACCATGGTAAATGTGGAATCATCGTCATTAAAACTGTCATTCAGTTTCTCATCAGCATTTTTTATTCTACCATCACTGGTTTCGTCATTTTCTAGTAGGTTTCCAACGGAACTACTTTCTGTTTCTACACTTTTCGTAGCAACAGCAAGTGACGTCACAGAATTCTCCACGGCCTTCTTGTTCGTTTCTTGCTTTCTTGATCCCCATGCAGGTAAAGGGAAATCCCTGTCTTTCCCCGACTTTAACCTCTTTTCAGGCTTACTATTACCAGCCACCGGTGCATGTTTCCCCGTATTTTTCTCAACTTCAGCAACTCTACAATCTAGCTTCACTATTTTTTCACTAAATCTATCCTGATTTTCACTCAGTATCTTCACACAGTGAGACATATCTAGACTCGCTTTACTGATATTTTCAATTTCAGCCAGGATAACTTGCAGCATACTACCAGTATCCATGCCGGAGAGATCACTCTGACTTTTTGTCACTGCATCAAAACGTTTTACACAAGCCTCACACAGCCACTTGATTTTGTTGCCCAGTGAGTTTATAGAGACGAAATCTGATTCCTCAATATTTACACATTCTATGTGATACCACAGTTTACAGTATCCATCACACCAAATAGCTCGATCATTTTCTCTCTCGCATGACTCATCACAAACTCCACACCTCTCATTACTTTCGTCTTTCTTCTTGCCCTTTTGTCTACCCATTTTTTATGCGAAAGTTAAAAACGTTTTGAGTTTAAAATATGACTCCTAAATAATCACAAAAAAGAAAATCCCTGTGTAGGGACAGTCAAACAGAAAAATCCCGGTAGGGGTTGTCAAAAACGGGAAAAAAATCCCACAGGCTCGAGATGCCTGAGTCAGCCTCTTGAAAATACTTTTGTTACGACAGAAAAAACGAAAACAAATACTATGTTACATAAACAGAAAGTTCACACCCTGGTTTGATGGCACCTCAGAATAAAAACTCATTTAGAAACCTTAAAAAGCACTTTTTGCACGGAGCCAGTTCACTGTTCAAACAAACCATCCGCCATTGCCACAGCCACTCCAGGCTTAGTTAGGTTAATTAGTTATTAGTTAGTTAATTAGTTAGGTTTAATTAATTTTTATACTTAAATATTTTTACTAATTTGGTTAAATGTTTGGTTACCTTTTTTGAATTCTGCTTCTAGCTTTTGAAGGTCACCTGTAACAAAAAAATGTTATAAACAAAACCTAAATAGTTTCTAGTTGATAGAGAATTTTACTCAATTGAAGACTTTACGGCATGTAATTAGAGTAACTAATTTTTCCTGTTTTATTTTGTTTTTTTATATAACCAACTATTTCTTGATTAGTAATAAGCTGTTTTGACGACATTCTATATTTATACACATATTTCATGTAGGCTATATATTGTATAAATATTGAATAAAGCTTTTCTGATTCTGATCACTTGTGTAAAGATCTTGGGTCAATACTTTGTAAATACAGTAAATACTAAATGTTATGTGTGAATAGACAATAAGTACTCACTGACTCTATTCTTTGTACTTGTACATTCATGAATAAAGGAGATTTTGATTTGATGTTAAACTGCATACATATGGGCAATTTTTGTGTATTCCTTTGCCTTTTATATTTTGGTCGCATAAAACAAATTTAGTAAAATATTAATGGTACTCTAGGTGACACCAAAGTGATCTTTGCCAACACCATGAAAAGACCTAAGGCTAACCACTAATCCTAACACTAAACATGTGTTCTTTGGTTCGACAGCTCCTTCAGTTGTGTGCCACAATGAATGTAGTTGTTACGAAATAAAATAAATAAACCCATGTTTACCTGCTGCGGGAGATGTGATTTAGAATATTTTTGTTTGAACATCATATTTACATAAAAATTTTAAGGGCCCGAGTAAGTCCTGCACTCTTTTAGGTTTATCTATACTTATTACAAAAAAGCTATACAGTAGACTCCCTCTTATCCGGACACCTTTTAACCAGATATCGGTTTAACCGGACTACACTCGGTAGAAGTGACATCTCTTTATCCGGATATTTTTTATCAGCACATCGGTTTAACCGGACTATATTGGCAGAAAGTGGGCGGTACTGAAACGACTGTTCTTGTGGGAAAGATTTGAGACCAGTGATTACGTGTCTAAATACAATGCTCTCCTAAATTTAAGTCAAATACTGTATGGAGTATGCATTTAAACGGTCCGTTTTAATGAGATTTTGGGGACGTCGGTTTAATCGGAAAACCCGTTATCCGGACTGGCCTTGGTCCCGAGGAATCCGGATAAGAGGGAGTCTACTGTACAAGTCTATTTAACTACAATATTTGTTTCGTACTTACTTTCCTCTTTTAACTGCCAAGCTAGAGTCGAACATAACAATCCGAGGGTCTTTCCAGTTCCCGTCGGGCTTTCTAACAGGCAGTTTTGCATTTTATTCAAGGCTTGAATAACCTACGAAAATAAACATACTATGATGATATAATTTAAACATTGATTAAAAGAAATACTTTCAGTAAAAGATGTTGTTGAGAAATATGCAAGTCAATGTAGTGGAAATTCTCTATTTCAGCACAGAGATCCTACGTTAAAGATTAAAAAACTAGAAGGTTGTATTTCATGTTAATTACCTACAGATTTGCATTTCTTTCATTTGATGGAAAACTCACCAATTCTACACTAAATTACATGCATGAAATATGTGGATGCAAAGCGATAGGTATCAGATACATCATCTAGGTTCTGTACTCGTTTTTGACCAGAAAGTTGTTGTTTACAGAAAGGGACTGTTAAAGTCAGCTGGAGATCAGTAAACACTCTTTAAGCAAAGTAACTTTCTCCGCACGAATAGACTAGCTCAGTACAACAATGCTGTAGACTGTCGACAAAGCCATCTCTTCCCCTTCCCCTCACACAACTCTAATATTTTGCTAGTTTGAATCACTTCTATTGACAACCGCCTTTGAGTGGATTATTGTGATCATTTGTAAGGAATTAATTTAATGTGAGACAGAAGATGTATTACCGGTACAATAGAAAATATTGTTTAATCATTAGTTAAACAGTATGTTGATTGTCTCTATTGTATTTTTTATTGCTGGTAGTGCAGTGAAAAGTATAGTATGCAAATCACCCGGGGAAGTGTTTGCATTAGGCCTACTCACATGAGATTATGTGCAAGGCTATCTTGCTTGTACAGTAAACACCTACTTTCCAGCCTTGTAGCGTAATGTACTATATCTTTGTTTTAAATTGAACATGTATCATTGTGATTAGCATAACAATAAATATAAGACTGATTGGTGAAGGCAAAGAAAAAATACAATTCAGAGAGAAAAATAAAATATTAATAATCCTAGGAACCAGGCTTGCTATCAGTCCTGATTCTGTCAAGACAGTCCTGACATTAGACCCTTTTGCCTATGTTTATTCTGGGGGAGGGGTGCTTGTCTTGATTTTTCTTAAACCAAAAAAATACTACCCGCAATACATGCCACTCGTGCTCAAAGTTCTAGTTTCAGACACCCCAAACAGCACAAACACTATTTTTACTTTCTCACCGCTTATCGATGATAAAGGTTGTTGGCAAGCTTATGGGAAAAATTATGTGTCAGATTGAATCTTCAATTGAAATTAAAACCTCTATCAACATAGCTTTGCTATCGAATTAGAAACCAAAATGGAAAACTTAACAGTAACATGTACTATTTTTTAACCCCCCCCCCCCTGCTTTAGTACCTTTTTACCCGGAATTGTTTATCACATTGTTTCAGGCTTGGTCTATAGGGGCACGGCATTATCACTTATATCAAATCTATTGAACCTTGAAGAACAAAGTCTCACCCTCTACCACTAGACCAGCTCGCTCTCATACAGTAACTTTCCGTTCATGTTTTAACAGCTGTATCAAATCAATCAAATCAAATATTCTTTATTGCCGTATAAAACACAGTAACATGCATGGCTTGAGTCACATTATTCAAGTAGGTACATAAATAAAATGCAACATTACACACCAGTAACAAACCTCTTTACCACCAATTTTTAACATAATTGTCTACAGAATAAAAACGCTTTTCTATTGAAAATATTTTAAGTCTTTGTTTGAATATATTGATGTTACTTATTGATTTGAGCTCGTCAGGTAGTGAGTTAAACAATATTGTGGCATTATAAAACACATGGCGTTTAAAGAAAGAGGTTTTATGTTGTGCGATATTTAAATCGGTTCTTTTTTTAGTATTGTAATTGGAGTGAGAAATTAAAGGTTAAAAAAAACTAAGGTTTTGCTTTAAGAGTATTAAAGTATTAGTTTTGTATATAGATGCAAGGTAAAGTGAGTATTCTTAATTTAATGAAAGCCGTTTTACAGAATTGACATTGAGTAAGTATTCAGGACCAGGGTAAATAATGTCACTGTGTGACTTAATATTGACAGGTGAAAGGCTTATACGATGCAAACTAGAAAAATGTTGTATCCAAATATCTACTAGACGCACCAACTGGCTTTCCATGTCTTCTATTAAAACAATAAACTATTTTCTTTTTAAAGTTGAAAGTCCAACCTGCCACAGAGAAGTAAGATACAGAGGATACATTCAACGGTACACTTAGATGTAAAGTTAAGGGAAATAAATTAAGAAGATGATGAACACGAAGCACTGACTAATATCTGCTGGAATTGCAAGGGTGTCCTGAAGTCACAAACAGGACTAAATGCCACAACCCATAACAGATTGTCAGGTTTTGATTCCCACCTACTTCGGTGGTGGTGACAACTCTTCTAAGTAATGGGTACAGCTACATATAATACCGGAGAGAACTCTAAGCTGTGGGTACGATAAGAATCAGACAACAAAAGAGTATTAGCAAAATGATACGTATATGATCAATCCTGTGGCAACTGCCAAAAATACTGTATTATTTGGTACGTATAATCAAAAAGCACACCTGACTCATCATGTACTTTTGAACAGAATATGGCTGGTGAGGGAAATCCACAGGAACTCCTCCAATGAGAAGCCTTGGTGGGCCTGACACACTCGGGGTTGTAGGCAGGTGAGCTGTTGAAGTATTCGGCTCTTCAATATCCATTTTGTTTCAATCTGAAAATGGATAATAAATTATTTTTAAAACAGTTCTCTATATGTATAGACGTCAGAAATTTTTTTAAATTATTTTTGCAATACTAGCCCGATTGCAATAACCATCTGTATTACAAGGGCGGTTTTTTAAGTAAGGAACGGTTATACATAGAAATGCGTAATTCGATTGAACACAGCAACGAGGCTCCTCACCACATATTGGCATCATTTGTGCACAGAATGATACAAATTGCAGCTCTGTAGCACTCACGTAGGCCTACGCATTTACTGTGTGTTTTAGTGATTTTACATATAGGGAAGTCGCTATTACCGTAGGCACGGTAAGACCTAACCCCGGGACCGATATACTTTTTCACTTTGATGTCCCTAGAAGCCAAAAACATTATTAGTTAAAATGTTGATATATGTAAGCTATATCTAGATAATAGATATATACAGGGTGCGGCAAAAAAACCCATCTATTTTTTGTAGAGCACTGTTCAGCGACAGGTAGTCTAAGAGTGGTAGGAGTAGGCTCGTTGGAAAGCCATTTTTTTGTCATAGAGCAGTGGTCGTATGATCTACGTGCAATTGTTATGGAGCCGTTTTTTAAAAGTAGTGAATTCATTCATTGCAACTCAGCGGCAGTTTCATGCATTCTTTCAATTAAGGCGACATGGAGAAGTTCCGTTGCGTAGCGGTGGGCTATTAACTTTAGAACAACGGCTTCTGCGTTGAAAAGAAAGCTGACAGTCCGTCCAAAGTCAGATCGGACGCCAGACAACTAACATTCGATAGAGTTCGTGCTGCCGAGGAAAACAGTCATCGTAGGCCCGCCCGAAAACAAGCCACTGCCTTGAACATGTCTGACTGCTCGGTAACACAAAATTTGAGGTCAATTTTCATCCCTATGGATTAATTAGACTGTTAAACACTGTTAATTAGATCATTAATCACTGTTTAATTTTGTTGTCCATACAGATAATCACGACGGAACCTCGCCATATCAACCTAACTGAATAAAAACACAAAACTGCCGCTGAGTTGCAATGACTTAATCATTACATTTTAAAAACGAACCAATAACACCTCAACGTCTGCACGTAGCTCATACGACCACTGCTCTATGACTAAAAAATGGCATTGAATCTAGGCTTTCCAAGGAGCCTACTCCCACCAGACAACCTGTCCCTTAACAGTGCGCTGCAGAAATTAGATCTTTTTTTTGCCGCACCCTGTATATATATATATATATATATATATATAGGGCAAGTCTTAATTGTCCCCCCCTCCATAAGAGGGGGGGACAATGTCTCAATGTCAGCAAGGATTGAGTTGAATGCGTCGTCGTCGCTAGCTGGCTCATTAACTCCGCCAAGTAAGTATACACGTGCTGTGGCGGTTATGTTAGGTCGGGTAATCATAAATATGTTTGTATGACTTTCCTCGTTTCGTTATGAATCGAATGATACCAGATGAGTCATCACTCAGGCAGGACACTGACCCAGATATAGGCGGTACCAGGTGATGCACGCGCTCCGGTCAACAACCTGACCTTGGCCTACTTGGAGGGGATTTGGTGGGTGAAAGTATGACTCATCTGCTATCGTTAGATTCATAACAAAATTAGGAAAGTCGTACAAACATATTTATGATAACCCAACCTAACATAACCTCCGCAGCGCGCTGTATAAAGGTGGCCTCCGGCTAGTACCAAAGCACCAATATCAATAGGCCTACAGTAGACTCCCTCCCATCCGGACTCCACGGGACCTAGGCCAGTCCGGATAACTTAACAGTTTTTCCGGTTAAACCGACGTCCCCAAAATCTCGTTAAAACGTACCGTTTAAATGAGTATTTGACCTAAATTTAGGAGAGCATTGTATTTAGACACGTAATCACTGGTTTCAAATCTTTCCCATAAGAACAGTCGTTTCAGTACCGCCCACTTCCTGCCGATCTAGTCCGGTTAAACCGATGTGCTGATAAAAATTATCCGGATAAAGAGATGTCACTTCTGCCGAGTGTAGACCGGTTAAACCGATGTCCGGTTAAAAGGTGTCCGGATAAGAGGGAGTCTACTGTATTTAGTAGGCCTTCTGTAGGTATATTAGGTGTCAATAGGCCGATTTTTCCACGATGTATTGTATTTAATACCATATCTCAAAATACAGTCTTTTTAACCTTGATATACCGTAACAAACCCCGATACAACAAATTCCTTGATATAACAATTTAATTCCTTAGAACCATCCATAAGACACATTGTATATTTTACCTATACATAATAAACAAACCATATCAACAACATTGATTTACAAATTTTTGATGATCCCGGTTAAAATAAGACACCCCAACATATTATCAAATTCATCATTATCAGAATCTCTACATAGCGAATTTAACCTCTACTTAACGAATTAACTGTGTATTTCCATCGATATAACAACCCCCCACATTATTTTTTTTTGTATCACAGTTCCTTTGATGAAAATGAAAGGTAAGGTGACGGCAACACTTGTGCTGACAATCGTCTGCTCTGTTTTACATATCTGCTTTGCGCTATGTCTCAACTGGTTCCTTTCCCTGAGGACTGACGGCAACATAATGCTTGGTTAACTGGAATTAGGTGATAAGTAACTAAGCCTAAGAAAGAATAAAAGAACAATGAGAAAGAATAGCAACGTTACGATTATAGTATTTTACGAGTTTTTATATGATCTTTAAGAAGGCTATGATTATACATTTTTATGATGATTTATCTAATGTTTTTATTGTTTACAACTCAATACGATTTGTTACAAAACTCTCTACCGGTACTGTTTTGTGTTTTTTACATGATTTATTATTAGGCCTATAACTTACAGTGTTTGGCTACATTTTAGGTGGGTTAGAATAAGCTGTGATTTCAAATGTTTAAGTTTGTAAGATGAACCAAGGGCAATGACTTGAAATGTCATGATTGCACAATATTAATGAATGTGTTTTAGGCCTAGCCTATTTTATTTTGTCGATAAAAATTTAAATTGTGAAATAAATAGAAATTTTGATTTAGACAGCATTACAATGTTTTTATGGGTTTGTCATCTTTTTATACAATGTTGGATTTAACTGTGGTTTTCACTAGGCCTATGCGTAGTCTCCCTCCACTTTATTACCCTGGATGATCAAGGTTCTACTTCAATTTGTGTATAAGGTCACTGTATTTTATTGTAGCCTATGCTAAGTTACTTTTGTTTTAATGAGGTGAAATCTCAACCTATATTGTCCGTTGCTGTTTCTGAACCTCAACTTAGCGAAATTCCTGCAAACCTAACCTTACTAGGTATAACAAACCTCATTTAAACAAATTCCTTGATATAACGATTCGGTCCCTTCAGATCCGTTATATCAAGGTTGAACTGTATTGACAAATTTAGCCATCCCTATCTAGGCTATGTAGGCTTGGTCCTGTATTCAAGTTGTACCTAGACATTTAAATAGTCTGAGTCAGGGATAATATTAAACTAAAAAAAGCTTACCTTCTTGATTTGGAGGATCGTTTCTATTAATTGCTTAACTTTAAACATGACTTCTCAAAGCATCTCTACCCAACCATTAGGCCCTATCCAAATAGGCCTAACGTGCTTAGGTTATGTCTTTCACTTTGCAGTGTCATTAACTGTATAATCTGTATTATTTATTTTATGACTACAATATATGTTAAGAAGAAGTTCTAATATCTTAGCTAAACAATGGCTTAACTCAATAACTGTACTTATTTAACAAAACAACACAGCTTATTTCTAAAAGAACAAGACAACAACACCGTACCACATCAAGAACAATAATTGCAATAGAAATCAAAAATCAAATCACCTCAATCAATCAAACAAAAACAACTTCAACTATCTAATCTAATCTACTTTAATACTAACTAACTGTAGTAGTGCTTTGCTTACCGCCAAGCGCCAAGGCGCCAAGACTTCGAGCAAGAATTATTGGACTTTGAAGTGAATATAAACATACCACAGAGTATTAGAGTAAATGACTATAGGAATAATTATGTATTTACTTACATGTGCATACATACATACATACATACATGCAGTTTTTCACATGTTGATGCAAAGGAATTAATTTCCCTTAATTTGATGTTTTTCAATGGGTTTTAGCGAATTTCCCATATAGGGAATAAGCTATTACCGTAGTACTCATGGTAAGACCTGGACCCGGGACCGATTTAATTTTTCATTTTGAGGTCCCTAGAGGCCAAAAACAAAAACACCATCCGTTCAAATTCATATATATATATATATATATATATGTTATGTGTGTGGGTGTGTGTGTGTGTGTCCGTTAGCGTGATAACTCGAGCAAAAATGATCCGATTTTGATTAAATTTGGTACAAACGTGTAAACCTACGTTTTTCGAACGAGTTCGCGATCCAGCATAATCGGACCATGGGAACAGGGGTTTATGCGGGGTTTTATGGGGGTAAAAAAGAAGCGCTGTTGTATGCCTAACGGTCAAGGAGAAAATTCAAAAACAGTGTAATTAAAAATTCCCATGTTATTCTTATGGAGAAAATGAAAATTGTAGAAGTTTACTTGTTTATGGATATATTGATAAAATTTGGCAAATTTATTTATTTCATCCTATACTATTGACGTATGGTCAAAAAACACTTTTTACCTTCGCCGTAGCAGCAAACCTAAGCACTCGTTAAATCTAATGTGTTATTTAAATAGGAAATAAATATGTCTTATTTATGGAGAAGAAAACAATTATCGCAAGAGTAAAAATTTAATGATTGAAAAGGGAGTATGGATAGTAATATTTTATTGATATTTCTGTTTGTCGGTATTTTTAGATACTGTTCCGGTGTAAAGAGAGGCCCCGCTCTGAATGTTAGTACCATAGATAAAACATACTTCCTCTATGTTAGTACCAAGGTTTGTACCTCAACTGGTTGCAGGTCAACTGGTCAACCATAGATAAAGTCTATGGGCCAACTCTGCGCTTTATTTATTTATTCCCAACGACAAAGTAGCTTAAAGAAAGCATATTTAAAAGAATTATCATTCGCTATAAAAATGTGATATGCTTACATGAAAAATGGCTTGCACGGGAGTATGGTAATAGTCTAATTCAATAATTACTCAATAACTAATTGTTGTAATAAATACAAAATTGAGCTATTTGTCAGTTTCCATACTCAAACCGCAATCTTAATAGCACAAATAATGCTTTTTACATATTATATGTAGTATACATAGTTCTGTAAACAACGCTGGTCTTCGAGATTTAATGTTGTCCGTTGACAGTATCGACGATGTTGGCAGGCCTGGATACTTCCGTTTCAGCTTCGTTTTCAGTTGGATCTGATTTCAGTTTTGATTTGATTGAGTTCCATTTTGTTCCTATTTAATTTAATTATCATTGAAGACGAGTCTTAAAATAAATATTAAGGCTTTACTTGATTGCAGATATCCACTTTTAGAAGGCTACTACGTAATAAAAGCTGGTCAATATATAAGGTAAGTAGTATTTCAAAATAATCTTAGTGGTAAAGCCTGATGCTCATTGCTCATCCCTTCTCAATCAACATTTAATAAGATTTCATTATTCCTGAAAAGCTAAGGTTTAGGTCTAACACATAATTCTTCATCCTTGTTAAATAGAGACTTGTTAAAAACCGATTACATTTTTAAAAGTATTAGGCTATGTTGAAAAATATTTTCAAATTTGGTAATCTTAGGTACAAAACTAGCCTAGGCCTAAGAGCCTATTTAATGCAATATGGCTGATTGATGCAACGACCCCTCCAACCCTGCACTAGCCTATACCTAGTTTAGGATTGGTGTAAACAACAAATCCCAATAATTATTAGGGTGTATTTTGTACATATTAATGAATTTTGATATAATTCGTCATCCACATGTTTAAATGCTTAATCCAGTTTAAATAAATAGTAGGCCTACAGTTCCAGAGATCCTGCCTTCAATATATTAGGCCTATCAGATGAAATATTTGTTCAATAGCCTAGCCTACATAAGCTATGGATAAAACTTAATTGACTAGCCTAATTATTTGATATAACTTAAAATATAATTATTGATTAAGCCTATGTGTATTAACATATAAATATGAATAGGCCTAAGTTTATTAAAGCCATATAGTTTTATAACTGTCAATAAAATTGTTGCAATTTAAACTTAATAGCCTAAAAGGTACAAAACATGTAAAACCTCGGCACGATCATAGTAAGTTAACTTAACTGACCTCAGAAAATTTGATTTTGGTCTTACCTTTTGTAATCATTTTCCATATTTAATTTACCTTTGCCAGAATAAAACTGTACTATAGATGAAAAAGTGCAGTAACTGGGTGCGTAAGGTAACGACTTGTCGTTAATATGGTTGGTACCGTAAGATAACACGGGGAGCGTAATTGTCGCCACAACCAAAGAACGACTGTTAGAAAAACTAACATGTTCTCAGACATGTGAGTTTTTCTGTTGCTGATGGTCACGGGTCTTATAGTTTGGCCATAGCCTAACCTCTCTTTAATATAATTATTTACAGAGATGATTTGCAAAGTTTTGGACACCACATCTAAGGCCGGGGCCACACTTGTAACTTTTAACCAGCGAGATTGGTTTTTCCGTTTTCACGTGCAACGCACGTGGAAGGGTATGACCGTGGCCACACTCGTCTTACGAGATAGATTTTTCAGGCTAACCAATGAGACTGATAAAGCATGTCACACTAGCAATAAAAATTGTCCGTGATCCCCACCCCCCTCCTATCCACCCTTACTGCACAGTATATCAGTCAGGTTAAAACTAGAAACGTCATAAAGATCGGTTGAAGCAATTAAAAGAAAAATTTGTTATGTAAAAAATACAGAATGGCAGATGTTTGGTTAACAAAGTGATTTAGGAAAAAGTTTTATTTGTGATTTTCTCTTGATTTTTAGCCAAGACATCACTAGGTTAATAATTATGTCTCTACCTTTTTAGAACACCCTGTATGATTAATTGGGTTGTAAAAACATACATTTGTGCGAGAGGGTATCTATATTTATTTAATACGCAAGCAGGTTTTTTTTTGACAATTACTCCTCCGAAACTACTGAACCGATTGACATGTTTTTGGTGTCATTGGAAAGAGCGTAACGTGAAGTTGTGCAGGAAACTTTCTTTTTAGGGAAATAATTAGAGAGTGAGGCCCTGGGGCACTTTAAAGTTTCGTATTTCTCCATAACATTAACATGGGAAACAAACATTGTTATGAAACTCCAGCTGTTGTCAGAAATTAAAAATGAGAAGAACGGCCATTCCTTCCGAAACTGCAAGGGACCCGACCGAAGCAAGAACTGCCTTCGGTGCGGGGAGGTCGGTCACATCCGTAAGGACTGCCAAGTTGACTCCTGTTTCCTTTGCAAAGAAAATGGGCTTGATGACAAACACTTGAAGCATATAGCTGGGTCTGGACAGTGTAGTGTATATAAATCTGCACTACAGCAAGCGAAAGCCTTCGGGAGTATTTCATTTGGTCCAAAATCGTTTGGTCCAACAGTTGTAAAACAGTTCGTTTGGTCCAAAACCTTTTGGTCCAACACTTGTAAAACAGTTCGTTTGGTCCAAAATCAATTTATCATCAAGTTGGGGAGTATTTCATTTGGTCCAAAATCGTTTGGTCCAACAGTTGTAAAACAGTTCGTTTGGTCCAACACTCTAATACGAGTTTGTTTGGTCCAACAGTATGAACTATTGCGTCCCTCACATTGAAGGCGTTCAAATAGCCGCCGTCACGTCGTCAACCCAACCGCCTGCCTTCCGAGGCCTATTTGTTGTTTTGTGTTATGTTTCTAAATAATTGATATGTTTCTATTTATATACACGTACATATACATATATTTATTTATATATAATGTGCTTGTGTCCTGTTTACTTTCTATCCCCAGTCAATCCTAAAACAACGCGTTTTAATTCCCTAGATTTGTGGATAAACATTGACTTTGCTTTGAGTGTGCATTTAATGTTAAACAGATGGTTTATTTAATTTATCTATATATTAAATTCAATCTATGTTTGTTGTGTGTTTGTCATGGTATTTGTAACAATCATGTAGTTAATAATACAAATATATAAAGTGAATTTCTCAGTGAAGATATATTCTATTTGTAAAACTTCCCAAATTGTTATGTTTACTCCCCATAAGGACCAAGGAAAAATGATTGAAAAGAGAGTTTATATTTGTTGTGGCTTATTGTCAATGGTATTACCTTAACCATTAACTCTATCTATATATATAAAATAGAGGAGGTATGTATTTTTATAACAGTGTATTAATAGTGATTAATAAGTAAATAAATAAAACATAGAAAGTCGCCATGTTTAAAGCAAAAATTTTACAGTATTAATATTATTATTGTATACAACGGCTGATTGTTGAACCCCTTCAATGTGAGGGAAGCAATAGTTTATACTGTTGGACCAAACAAACTCGTTTTAAAGTGTTGGATAAAACGATTTTGGACCAAACGAACGAGTTTTTAACTGTTGGACCAAACGATTTTGGACCAAATGAAATTGGATAAAACGATTTTGGACCAAATGAACGAGTTTTTAACTGTTGGACCAAACGATTTTGGACCATTTGAAGATGATCCCACGCCTTCCCACGAAGATAAGAATCCTTCAGTTCAATCTTGAGCTATCCAGGACGGCTGACGCACTTCTATGTCAGCTTGCCCTAGAACACGATGTCGACGCGTTCTTAGTTAGCGAACAGTACCAGTACCGTGATAGGGACAC